TATACAATTACCAACATCAGGTCATTTGACATGAATATAATACCACGATCTCAAATGATCTCAGTTCATTTTCACACTTCACCAAGGGTCTCAGTAATCCATTTTCTTGTTGATTCTGATTTTCTGTTGAGGGTGGGGAGGCTTTGGAAGTAGGAGAATAGGTGGGTGCAAAAGAAGAGAGAGGGTCAGGGGCCCCGCACCGCCATGGGTTTGGAGGGAGTCTCGAAGAACACCTCCTGGACCCCTCAGATTCACAAAAGGGAGGGAGCATGGCTGACAGTCACTCGGCACACGTCCGAGGTACCACCTTCCCCCTGCCCCCTGCCCCCAGCTCTCTCCCAGGGCTGAAGCCCAGAGCCTTCAGCAGCCATGAAAACACCCTCATTTCAGCTCTCTGCACCTAGAAACTACTCGACCTCACTGTCAGCTCTGAACCAGTGATTGTTACTCAGCACCCTTGTGGTTAAACCCCTAAATCCATAAAGAGCAGAAAAGCACACAGCAAACTGGCCTCTCGTGGTACTCTGGGGATTGCAGAGTGACCCATCTCACCCCTCTGAAGTCTGAGTCTGCTCACTCAGACTTCCCAGAACTGGAAGGTAAGATTTTTCCATGAGTTATATAAAAGGAATAGAGAATTTAAAGAATGCTTTTGCTTTTCAGTCCCAAGATGAGATCTTAAACACTTCCTATAACAAACACTGGCAACGCCTCTCATGTTTATTTTTCAAGCGGTTTTTTTCATTTTCCTCAAACAGTGGAAGCTGTTAGTGCTGGGGGCTATATTTTTGGCTCCAGTGGCCTGGGTGTGCCTCTCCAAGTATGACTGTGCTTATTTACATATGGAAAATCATTCCAGAGGGTGATTATATTCTCTCCATCACAGTTCCTGGGTTGTGTGCGCAGAATTGCTTTTTTGAAAACAGGTGGTGCACGTGGGACGGATGAATAGCGTGGTGTAACAAACAGTGCATACGCTGTAATGCTGACCGCCTAGGAGGGCACCAGGGTGCAGAGAAAACACAGGGACTCCCTGAAACCACCACCTGACTGTCCAGTGAGCTTAGACAGCCTTTTGCCTCTCTGGGCCTCAGGCTCTTCATCTGTCAAATGGGGATAATTGATGCAGACCCTGGCTCGTGGGGTCTGCGACATTGTGGATGAGACACCACAAATTCACATGGACTACCAAGTCCTGTGGAGGAAAAGGGACAGCACAGCTACTCTCTCAAGAAGAGAAAAGGCCTTGGACCTTGCCTTGACAAGCTTTTATTGCTTTTCTGGGCACAGTACATGATGGTCCTCATTTACTATGCAGATTCACTTTAGGTGGCTCCCTTTTACAGAGAACAACAGAGAGGATGCTGCTAATCGGATCACAGAAAGGAGGATATTTGCAAATGCAAAGGGAAAAGTAGTTGAACTGGTTACGCTCATCCTTGGAAGGTTTAGCATAGATTTTAGGAAGTTACTTTAAAAATACACAGTGAACATTTTCTGCCTCAGTTCAGGGGGAGGGAGTTTTAGCAAAAGCAAGTCTCACAGCAGTCTAGGTACAATGCAGGCCTGATTCCCCAAGGGAGAACCTATCCATGGGCATGGGTCCTGTCTGGGCCCACACCACACAGAATGATCTCCTATGGATAATGCCACCTAGAGAGTTGCCAGGACATATTTTCAGGGTAAGTGATGGCCTCTGCTGAGTGCCTGCCATAATGGGCACCCAATACCTGAGCCTGGCTCCTTCTCCCTCGTGACAGATCACTGTGGTTTGGGCTTCCTGACCCCTGGGTCTGTACCCAGGTGGGCAGTGAGGACCACTCAAGACAGTTTGTTGCTAACACTTGTGCCAAGGGGTATCATATTTGCTTCTTTGAATGAGCAAATAAATCCCGATTTGTCCTCCCCTGCTTGATTTTGATCCCTGCTCCACGTTGCTCCATGAGTGTGTGTGAGGGAGGGAGAGGGGGACTTGAGGACCACTGCTCATTCTGAAGCTCACAGCTTGGAAGCCAGGAGGTGCTTGCACTCTTACAAGCGCTCACAAGCCCTCCCCACACTGTCCCACCCATCTTTCCTGCAATAGCACCCTCACTCACAATGCGTGCTGATGCTCTGGTGACCTGCCTGTGCTCTCTCCCCCCAGGGCTGCCCCTTAATGTTGATAGTAATCATTTCACTTAGTGAAGTGTGTGGGGGTTGGGCAAGATGCCAGCCAGGACCACCTCTCCCCAAATCTCTTGGAGAGGGCCTTTATCACTGATGATGAAGGTTCAGCCTTCCAAAGCCTCGGTTTCCTATTCCAATGAAAGGGGAAGAGGATCTCCAGTTGGCCAAATTGGTTAAAATGGTGCTAATAATATCTAATGTGTACTGAGTGCTCACTCTGTACCAGGGACTGCACATGTGTAACCCAAATATAACTGGGGCCTCCTGCTGCCCACTGTCCCGTTTGGTTACCAAAGTCAAACAGCAGTGCTGCCTAAGCCTAATTAAGAGCTACTCAAAAGCGTATTTGGTTTCTCAAGAAAAATGCCAAAGGAGAAACACATTCTCAATGCACAGAAACGCTCTTTGAAGTTCTCTTTAGACATTTCTCACTCTTGGGTTCTTCTGTTACCTAGTGGCTTCAGAAAAAGCTTTGCTCTTTCTCTACTGCCCTCAAGACTTCCCCAAGGCCAGCTCCGCCCGTCCATCTCCCCATACGGCGCCTTCACCCCCAGGCTGTCCTTCTGTCACCCCCAGTCGGTGTGTTCTGTCACCCACCACTCTCCCGGGAAACAGAATCTGCCTCCTGTTCTGGAAATTTTTTCTCTCACTTTCCAAAAAGCGGGAGTCAGGGGTCTTGGTGAATACAGTCCTTCACTTTGCGGTACATGTACCAACTCTTTTAATCCTCAACAGCCGTTAAGTGGTGACACTGGGATCTTAGCCCAAACGTCATCAGATTCCACAGTCAGACGCTTAGCCAGATGGCTGCCATAGAGTAAGTGCTCAGTAATAAGCTTCTCTCCCCACATCGTATCTGCGCAGGAACCTTTAAGGGCTTCCTGTTGCCTAGAGTAGGGGTAAACAAATCATGGCCAGCAGGCCAAATCTGGCCTGCCACCTGTTTTTGTAAGTAAAGTTCTATTGGAACACGAAGGCTGCTTTCACTATACGAAGTTGAGTAGTTACAACAGACACTGTATGGCTGGCAAAACCTAAGCTATTTATTATTTGACTCTTTACAGGAAGGGTTTGCTGGCCCCTGGACCAGGGAATAAGAGCAAACAGAGGCTGCTTCTCATCCTCCTTCGAATCTGCTATGGAGCAAGTGCTTAACAAATCCATTTCCAATGAATGAACAAGATGTACGCACCATCAGTTTACAGCCACACCCCTACATGTGAAGAGATCCCAAATAAAGTCAGACGCTCCCACTTACCTGGTTCCGTAACAGTGCCACCCCCTCCTTGTAGGTCATGGGGAGCCCTTCCAGGACTGCCGCAGATGTCTCAGACTCCTTGACCCTCTGGACCTACCAGGGAAGTCGAGATGATTAATCAACACTGCTTCTCTACCCTTTTATACCCATGTTCCTTCTGATAGAAAAATGCCAGGCTCCTTCTCCTTTGCTGTGCAACATAGTTTTTTTCTTTTTAATTCAACATACAAAAGGATGTTGAGTATGCTTTTCAAACTATACTCACCCCTCACTCATGAAAACCATTGATCTTGCCCATCTTCCTCACTCTGCCCCTGGAGAACCTGGGGTGCAGGTAGAAGACTCACAATGCTCAAGGGGGTCCAGTGAGGTGGAAACAGAGTCAGGTTCTCGAGAGCTCCCGAAGTCCAGCTTGGCACTGAATCCCTCAGACCACACTCCTTGACAAGGGTGGGGAAGGGCGAGTGTTTGTGTGTGTAGGGTGGGAGAGAGTTCATCTCGCTCCTGGTGGCCAGGCCAGGCTCTTGTGCTGTCACGGCCTCCACCAGGCCCCTTTGCAATGTCCAAGCTAAACTATGGGGTTTCCTAAGGCAGAGAGGTGATCAAGCACTGGGTGTATATTTCTGAGGCTAAAAGGAGGCAGGAACTCTAAATTTTAGGCCTGGGCTACCCACAGGACAGCCAGCTCAGCTCACTGACAGGTGGCTTCAGATTCAGCACCCCTCCCCAGAGGAATTGAGGAGCCCTCTTTAAGTCTAACCAGCCACTTCCTTGTCTCTGCCTCCTCTTTCTCAGGCTGCTTGCTCTTCATTCTTGACCGAAGATGCTGCTCCTGTCACGCTTCCCACCTCTCTCTCTCTCTGGCTTCTTACACCTCCCTCCACAGTCCTGCCTCTCTCCAGTCCCTGGCAGTCTGCAAGAGGTACTTGATGAGCATTGGCAGAATAGCAGTTTGCAGGTCCAACACAGCCCACATATGTGTTTTGTTTGCCTAACACGTTATTTCAAAAACAATTTGAATTAGTTGCTCACATTTAAAAACCAGTGGGAATCTTCTTAAATACTGGGTTTCCTGCTTCTCTTGAAAAATAGACCAGCAGCAACAGACCCGACTTCCTTGCACTTACTTCCGGCATGGCATCGACTGACTGAGTCCAAGGAGCAGCTGCTCCATCAGGATGGGATTGTGCACACTAGTCCCAACCACACCCTGTTGCCCCCCTAGTCCTCCTGCTGTGCCCCTTTAGATCACTTGTCTGGCCTTGGAAGGCATTTAAGTTCACAATCTGTCTTGCTCACTTTGATCTGAGCCCCTCTGTGTCTCCCATCCATCTTGGTAGATAAGATCCTCCTACCCCAAGACCATCCCCAGCGATGAACTCATCCACACCCAGTCTCCTGACCATCCACCACTCAGCTCCGTACCAAGGGAGACAGTGCCCCAGTTGCTGCCCTCAGACACCTCTCCAGACCCACAGCTCAGCCCCCATCACCCCCCAACTCCAAGCCCCACAACTCCCATGGTGGTCACTCAGGAAACATGGTGCACAAAAACCCACATCCTTTATTGGGTTTAAAGCAAGACACCGGCATTCTTGTACTGAGGCAGGAGTTCTTGGATTTTGTACCGGGGTGGTGTGATAGCTTGGACAATCCTCAGTGGGGGGAGGCCTTTCTGCTTTGCCATAAAAATGGGATAACGACGTTTAGTCTTCTTGTTGAAGCTGTACAAATCCAGTGTCAGAGACTTGGGGTTGTAAATTTCTTTCTTGTGCTGGATTTGGGTGAGTGGTAGATGTTGGCGAGGCTCTACCAACAGCCTCACCAGGTCCCTCCGAAAGACATTCCAGCTATTCTCCATAAGGAACTTCTGGCACATGTCATCATCACTGAAGGTAAAGCACAGATGCTGAGGTTCCCATGCCTGCTCCTCCCTGTCCCTCTGCCCCTCCAGCCTCGCTTCCCACCACTCTTTGCAATCCCTAAACACAATGTGCTGCTTTTCACCCTGGTGCCTTTTTCTAGATTCTTCCCTCTGCCTCCTGTACCTTTCTACACTTTCTTCCCTTAACCTGTGCTGTTCCACCCAGTGCTTATGAGCCACACACAGCCTCTGAGTACCTGAAGGGTGGCCTTTCTGAATTAGAGATGTGCTGGGAGTATAAAACATACCCCCAATTTCAAAGACTTAGAACAAAAAAAAAAAGAATGTAGAGTACCTAATTAATAATTCTTATGTTGATTACATGTTGAAATGATAACATTTTAGATATACTGAATTCAATAAAATATATTATTACAATTAATTTCACCCATTTTCCTTCTTTAATGTGACTGCTGAAATTTTTAAATTACATATGTGACTAGTAGCCATCAGGGAAATGTAAATCAAAGCCAGAGTGAGACACCACTCACACCCGTTAGAATGTCTATAATTAAAAAGGCAGATAATGAGTGCTGATGAGGATGTGAAAATACTGGGACAGGGGTTCCCATACATTAATAATGGGAGTGTAAACTGGTGCAGCCACTTAGGAAAACAGTCTGGCAGTTCCTCAAAAGGTTAAACAGAGTTAACTTATCACTCAGCAAGTCTGCTCCTAGGTATATACCCAAGAGAAATGGAAACAAATGTCCACAGAAAAATTTGCACAAGAGGTTCACTTCCAGTCAAGACGGAGGCATAGACAAATATGCCTTGCACTGCTCACAACTATAGCAAAAAATACAACTAGACAACAAAACAGATATCAGCCGGAATGTCAGAAAATAAAGCTGTGTGAAAGTCTGACAACCAAAAACAACTGATCTAAAGAAGCCACATTCAACCAGTTGGGTAGGAGGGGTGAAGAGGTGCAGAGACAGGAATGGGAAGACCCACATCCATGAGTGATGGATAAAAAATGGGAGGGATACCTCGGGAGTGGGATGCCAGCTCCAGTCCAGACCACTCAGCCCAGGGTTCCAGTGCCAGGAAAATAAAGCCCCATAACTTCTGGCTATGAAAACCAGTGAGGGTTGGGATGACAGAAGAAACTGCAGGATTCTCAAAAGACTCTTCTTAAAGGGCCCCCAACAGATTTAGGATTCACACAGACCCACCCACACTGGGATTCACCACCAGGGCAACAGCTGGAAGGGCACCAATGGCACATGGGGAGAAAGTGAAGTGCGAGTTCTGGGAGACAGTTTCCTCCCAGGCAAAACTCCAGAGGCCAGGCAGTGGCATTGTCCCCTCTTCAAGCTCTCTCCCAAACAGAGCAACAGAGCAGTTACACAGGTTGCTTCAACCTAGCAGTTACCTAAGGCTCCACCCCATATAGTTTAACAAGTGCACCTTTTTACAATAAGCCACGATACTAAGGGAGTCAAAGTAGCTTTATGTAATGCACAAAAACAAACACAGGAAGGCTGCCAAAATGAGGAGACAAAGAAATATGGCCCAAATGAAAGACCAGAACAAAACTCCAGAAAAAGTACTAAATAAGATGGAGATAAGCAACCTATCAGATGCAGAGTTCAAAACACTGGTTATCAGGATGCTCCAGCAAGTCAGTGGGTACTTCAACACCATAAGAAAGTCCCAGGCAGAAATGAAGGTTGCATTAAGTGAAATAAAGAAAAATCCATAGGGGACTAACAGCAGAAAGGATGAAGCTGAGACTCAGATCAATAATTTGGAACCAAAGAACTGGAAAAGCATTCATTGGAACAGCAGGAACAAAAAAGAATTCGCAAAACGAGGATAGGCTTAGGAACCTCTGGGACATCTTCAGGTGTACAGGACAGTGACTCAACCAGCTGAGCCACCTGGCCAGGGCTTATGGGACATCTTTAAATATACCATCTGAATCATAGGGGTGCTAGAAAGAGAATAAGAAGAGTAAGAAATTTAAAAATTATTTGAAAAAAACTTCCCTAATCTGGTGAAGAAATAGACATGCAAGTCCAGGAAGTACAGAGAGTCTCAAACAAGTTGAACCCAAAGAGGTCCACACCAAGACACATCATAATTAAAATGCCAATGATTAAAGATAGAGGATCTTAAAAGCAGAATGAGAAAAGCAGAGAATTACCTACAAAGTTCCCATAAGATTATCAGCTGATTTCTCAAAAGAAATCACGTACGCGAGAAGTGTTCAAAGTGATGAAAAGCAAGGACCTACAACCTAGATTACTCTATCCAGCAAAGATATCATTTAGAATTGAAGGACAGATAAAGTGCTCCCAGACTAGGTAAAGCTAAAGGAGTTCATTATCACCAAGCTATTATATATGAAATGCTAAAGGAAATTATATAAGAAAAAGAAGATCAAAACAATGAACATTAAAATGGCAATAAATTCACAACTACCTATAATTGAATTCAAATAACAAACAAGCAAACAAGCAGAACAGGGACAGAATCATAGATAAGGAGATTATTTGGTGGGATATCAGTTGAGAAGGGGAAGGGGGAGAATGGAGGGAAAGGTACAGGGATTAAGAAGCACAAATTGGTAGGCACAAAATAAACAGGGGCATGTTAAGAACAGTATAAGTAATGTAGCAGCCGAAGAACTTAAATGCATGACCCATGGACAAGAACTAAGGAGAGAGATTGCTGGAAGGAATGGGGGTACCAGGTGGAAGGGGACAAAGTGGGAAAACTGGAACAACTGTAATAACATAATCAATAAAATATATTTTAAAAATATCTGTATAAGAATGTTCATAGCAGCATTGTTCATAATAGCCAAAAGATAGAAACAACCCAAATGTTCACCATCTGAGGAATGGATAAATAAAGTATGGTACATACAAGCAATGGAATATTATTTGACAATAACAAGGAATAAAGCATTGATACATGGTGCAACATGAATGAACCCTGAAAATATGCAAAGAAGCAAGTTACAAAAGACCACATCTTGCAGGATGGCACTTATATCTAGTAAGAGACATATCTATAAAGACAGAAAGCAGAATAATAGCTGCCTTGGACTGGCCTTGGTGTCCTTGTTCCACTCTGTCCCTTGCCCTCACAGCAGGTAAGACTGGGGAAAGCAGGGGAGGGTGGTATGAGCTCAGCACTCATTGGCTTATTTCCTTCTGAGACCACAGCAAGGGAAGGGCATGTTCAATTTCCATTGACTCATCTGTACTCTCACCTAAGGAGGCAAGCCTAATAAATCACAGATTAGAACATTCTTCTGGCTACATTATTTGACCAGAAAAGAGTCCACTTTGATAAATAGAAATCAACTTAATAAAAACCCCAGAAATTGAACTAGGCTACAAACTAGTCCTATTGGTGTCAGTGGTGCATCAGAGTCAGCTCCCAGAGTCAGCTCATGGGGGCCAACTGTGTGCATCTCTTCTCAAGCTCATGTTCAGTGATACCAGGTTGACAGCTCAAAACTGGGCATGGCGGGAGTGTGTGCACCACAGAAATTGGCAAACACTTCAAATCAGTTTACTATCCACCTCTCAGAGAGTTTGTTGTTAAACATTCACCCGCATACCACTGGAAAGTCTTCATTTAAAAATTTCCATTAACTTCCAATTTCTTACATAATCAATAACACCACTAACTCAGACTTAGCACTTACCATATGCCAAACGCTTTGCATTTGCTAATTAATTTAATCCTCATAACCACCTCAATTCACAAACATGGAAACTGTGTCCAAAGAGGCTAAGGGACTCACCAAACCCCGAGGGGGGCAAACAGATGATTACAAATTCTTAGGGGATCTTCTTTTTCTAAGTTAAGATGAACTAAATTCCATGTTACCTCCAGATGCTGATGGTCATACCAAGTTCTAGTCTAGTTTTTCACTAAATAGGGTAGCTCTTCCAGAGGCCTCCGCTTCATGCAGGTGTCTTAGTTCCAGTCCCTGACTCACGTGACCTGAAAGTGTCATCTCTCCTTGCAGGGTATACAACTTCAACCCAGGATCCCTTTAACTCCCATCCCCTCACTGGGCAATCCCAACACTGGATCCCCTCTCTGTGCTTTAGTTTTTAGGATCCTCTTCACTTTGGCCTTGGAGATTTCCCTTCTTTCTTATGATTATTTTCTACATGGCACTCCCTGTGTTTGTAGGAAGAGAGGTTTCAGGTTATCTAGCCCAAAGCATTTACAGGACAGGTGTCCTGGCCAGTGACTATGTGACATACAGGATGTCACAGCCCCTTTCCTGGGCCTCATGGTCCTCAGTGAAAAGATGAGGATTTGAGCTAGATAATGGATATGATTTCTGCCTGCTTTAGCAGTTTAGAAAACCAGGAATTCAACAATTAATGAGTAAGCCAGAACTCAGTATGTCAGCATTACAGACGATTGCCGTGAAGTGCTGACTGGGCAGCCCCAACATCTGCCACCCTCAAACCTATGGAAACCTTTTCTGAATTCAATTCAACAGACATTAACTGACACCCATCATGTGCCGGGCATTATGCGAGGAGCTGAGGCTCTTTAAATGGTTCCTTGGGTAGATGGCTCTAAATAGCCATTTTCTATACGGGGAGTACACAGAGAATTGTGGCATTTTTGGACTGCAAGGAACCACCACTGTTTCCCAACTTGTTTTTCTCACAAAACTACCCCGATTTGGGCCATATCCATTTATTATCTGTTTTTTAATTTATTAATGACTTTTCTTAAATCTACTTAGTTTCTTCCAATTGAATATTTACTTTGGCTTTGTTCGAAGCAACAAAATCTGTCAGATCATGAGTTTGGTGAGTGAGTCATGTTATATTTCTAATTCACACTAGAATAAATACATAGCTATTAAAACTAATGATGTCAATCAATCACCTTGTAAACCTTCTGTGAATGTGTTCCACACTTTAGAGAACACTGTTCTAGTCTAATTTTCTGGTTTTGCAGATCAGAGATTGAAGCCTAGAGAAGGGAAATGGTTTATCCAAGGTCATATAGATCCCATATAGAATCTTTTCAGGGGCTTATGGGACATAGCTACAGATCTGCCTGCCTTCACAACACCTCTCTCTAACACTGGAATCACTAGCTTCCAACACTTGCCAGCAAAACCAAGTCTGATCACAATATCATCACAAGAAAAGAAAAAGGAGGGCGCAAAATTGTATAATCCACAAGATCCCCATCAAAAAACTGTGTGTATGAATAATAAGTGATAGATTTGGCACATATCCGTGTGGTTAAAAAATACTAAAAAGAAATACACAGAATGTTAATTGGGATGGCTGAAACAATGCAAATGATTTTGGTTCTCACCTTTTTAAGTGTTCAGCATATTCTAGTTTTCTGCAATGAGTATGTCCCACTCATTCAACAATTATTGAGCATCTACCAGGTACTATACAAGTGCTCGAGACAGAAATGGGTAAAACACATTCCCTGCCCCCATGAAGCAATTAATCAAGTGGAGGGGAAAGAACTGTACAAACTACACAGCTCTCAATAGTTATAATACAACATGTATGGCCCACGGGAGAGCTGTGGAGGGAGCACAATGAGTATACAGAAAGGGGTACTAACCCCTCCTGGGGTCAGTCAGGAAAGGTTTCTGGAGGGAATGAATCTTAAAGAATGAGCAGGGATTTATTAGAAAAAGAAGGATAGGATTGGAGGATGGCCTTTTGGGCAGAACGGCCTACAACGGCAAAGGCAGGTACGTGCAGGGTCCATGAGGCCATCTGCCTGGTTGCTGGCGTGGGTTAGAGGAGGGGCAGGAGGAGCTGCAGGGAAGTTGAGGGGTGAGACTCTGAAGAGCCATTTATGTGGCCCTGAGCCTGTACTGTATCCTATAAGCAGTGAGATACCACTGGAAGTTTTGTTTTGTCTTTTAAGAATTTATTCATTTATTTTTACAGAGAGAGGAAGCGGGGTGGAGAAAGAGAAAGAGAAACATCAGTGTGTGAGACAGAAACATCACTGTCCTGTGTCCCCTGACAGTGATCAGAACCCACAACCCAGGCAGGTGCCCTGAGGACATCCAAATGGTGACCCTTCGCTTTGCCCACAACACACAACCAACTGAGCTACATGTGTCAGGCTACCACTGAAAAGTTTTAAGCAGGAGTGTAACACAGCCAGATTTGACGTTTAAGCAAGAGCGGAAAGGATCTGGTGAGGAGGAGATTGAGGCAGGGTTACCAGTGGTAAGACTTGTAGGAGTCGAGGCCGGAGGTCCTGAAATGGGTGTAGGGGCATGTCACCCACAGAGATGAATCAGATGAAGAAAGAAGTAGGAGTATATAAAGAAAATAGTAGGACGCAGCCCTAGCTGGGTGGCTCAGTTGGTTGGAGCATTGTCCCGTCCACCAAAAAGGTTGTGGTTTGATCCCTGCTCGGGCACATATGGGAGGTTTGATAGATCTCTCTCTCTCTCTTTAAAATCAATAAACACATCTTCAGGTGAAGATTAAAAAAAGAAAAAATAGTAGAACTTCATTTATATTTATCTTTGTCTTATTGTTTTTAGAGATCTATTTTTATGTTTATAACATATATGATATATAGTACAATTATGGATATATACATAAAAATTAATTAGCACGTGTTATTTATATTACATGTATATTCTTAGAGAAAATACACTCAAATACTTTTTAGTAACAGAGTATAAGATCAAAACAGTTTTGTTACCTGTTTTGTGTGGGCAATAGATTAATTTTTACATAAAAAAATAAAGTGGTGTGGTTTTTTTTTTACATTATAAGTATTCACTCAGGAAAATTTGAAAACTAGGTAAAAGTAAAAAAAAATCTTTTACTGAATCTTTGAAGATAGATATTTATCTTTTTTAATTATGAAAGTAATATATCATCATTAGAGAAAATTTGGAGAATAAAGGAAAAAAATCCACTTAGAATGGCACTACCCTGACACCACTTCTACCAAGTGTATCTTTTCTCCTCATTCTAAAAGCAATGCACGCTCACCGCAAAAACAAAATGAGAGGAATGCGTAACTGCATCTAGAAAGTCCCCTTTTAGTCCCGCCTTCCAGAGAGAAGGACAATTACCAATTTCACAATCCCACAGCAATTATCATTTTTGCCTAACTCCTTCTAGATTTTTTGCTTGTGTTTTACAAAGTCATAGTCATAGTATAAACACAATTTTATGCTCTGCCCTTTTCATTATCATTAAATTACCTATTTTATCCTTCTGCTATTAGAGCCATTAAACTTTATAATTTTAATGAAACAGCTACATTCCATCAAGTGAATGGACCATAATTTTCTAAACTATCCCCTTACAACATGTGTGGGTGGTGGTGGTGGTGGTTTTCTATTATGAATATGCTGCTCTGAACACCCTCATGCATGCAGTTTTCCCCACAACTTAGTTATATAGAGATAAATTTATGGGGGGGGGGACCATTGCTTTCATGGGTAATAACAGTTTTATGGCCCTCGAAACATAATAAAATTATATTGTCCAAAGGACTGAGCCCACTTAGAGTCTAGCAACAGCTACCAGTTTCATCCCACCCTTGTCAGCATTAGGTATTAGCATTTTATTCTTTCTTTTACTAAAACAACAGGTGAAACTGTGTTCATTTGATCCAGTGGGGTGTACACACATTCCCAGCACTGACCTGGGGTACTTGATCTTGAACCTGGACAATTTTTCTGTTACCTCACTGTCCATCAGGTCACAAAATTTTTCTTTCCTCACAGTTAACAACTCAACTCCCAGGCTCATGAGGATCAAGGGCCGAGTGTCTTGTTGGCTGTTTGGGAGGAGGATCTGGTGAAGGCCCTAGAAAAAAAAAAAGTCCCAGAACGTTTGACCTCAGACACCATCTACTTCTACTAGCAGGTATTCTAGATGGGAAAACAAGGCTGTGAGGGGGAAGTGAATCCATCCAGGGTCATTCAGCAAACAGCAGGGAGGAGTCCAGGGCTCCTTTTGCTCCACAACATCCAATCCTCCCACTCCTCAAATTAGAACAGCCCTTGAGGCATTTGTCCATGTCCTACCTGCAGGCAGCTGGCTCTCTCCCAGAATGTACTCAGGGTCACTCTCCAGGGGATGGCATTTTACAGGTTTTCCCTACTATCCAATCTCAACGCTTGTGCCAAATAAGTCTGTTTTCTCTTTCTTAGGATTGTGACAAAAATCAAACAGCTAGTCCTCCTCTTCTAGAGCTTCCCTTTGCAGCTACCACCCTCCCCCATCCTTTTCTGCAGGTCTTGGCTCCTAAATGCATGTTCCCACAGAGCCTCAGTCTTCTCTCCATCTTGCATAGACCTTGGAGGCCACTGGCCTCCTCTCTGCAGCTATGGCACTCCTCTGTCTCTCTGGTATGGAGTCCTATTTGGTTATATCTGGAAGGGAGATGGAAATCAACAGGCATACCTGGTTGTTTTACTCAGAGTATAACCCCCTTCTAAGGAGACACCCTGAGAGGGGGCCAAGCCCTTGTTGTTGAACTCCCAGTCCAGTGCTCACTCCTCCGCATTCGCAGCTATTAAGACTCGGGTAGCGAGGGAAGAGGAGGTCAGTGGCCCCAGAGTTTCCAGTGTCCTGCTCTTTAGGGCTTAAGCAGAAAGGGGGCCATAAACCAAGACAGCCGCTCTAAGAAGGCCACTGGGATCAAGAAAAGTCCTGGCTTCAGAAGGAAGAGCCAAATGTTTACTTATGTCACTTTAGGTAAGTTACACCCCCCTGAGCCATCTGTAAAACCCTCTTTGAAGGATTCTGAATTTGAAAGATCTGAAGTGGGATTTGGAACAGCATCCCCCTGCCCCCACCATTTGGGTTCTAGACAGCCGTTGAAGGTCCAAATAAGATGGTGTGTATAAGGATGTTCTGGAAGACACAAAGCACCTCACATGTCAGTTACGCCTAGTACAATGAGCATGAAACCCCTTCTGTAAGGCCAGACCTCGCAAAGAAATGCCCTTTAGCTCCTACTGCATGGTAGAAATATATACACATATGTATAGATGTATGTGTGTGTATGTATGTATACATGTGTGAGTATATATATGTAGGGCCTTTCTATGCATTGGGCTCTGTGTGGTGAATGAAGCAATGAGGCCCTTGCTCTGAGCCCCACCCAAAGCCGGCCAGGTCTTCTTAGAGAAGCAAGTCCCAGGCCCCTATTCTGGCATTGCAGGACCTCTACAGTGTGCATCCTGTTGTTCTCCTGCCATCTTACATAGCCTCACATTCCTCTCGCCATCTACCAAATGGGACAATGCCCTCCCTGACCTCTGGTGCCTCCTTCTGCCCAGATGCCAAGCATCCCCAGCTCCTCCACCTTGCAATGTGCCAGGTGGCATTCATGGACCAGGCACCAGGCCTCAGGTGCCTGTGTTCAGTCCAGAGCGACTCACTCAGGAACACTGACAAACTGCAGTGAAGTGGACAGTAAGAAGGTTGGAAACTACATCACGTGAAGATTAACGGAAGGAATGGAGGATATTTTGCCTGAATAAGAAAATAAGTAACAGCGCACTGGCACTGTGCCTGGTTCCGTATATGCTGAATGAAAAATAAAACAGCATTCTCTGAATACTTAGGGGCCATCACATGGCAAGGAAGCTGATTTCTTCTGTTTTGTTCTTAGGAATGGGCTATGGTGGGGGGAGGTGCGGGGAACTAGTTAAAGTTGCAGGAGGCAGAATTTTACTGAATAAAAGAAAAAGACTGCCCTGGCTGGATAGTCAGTGGATGATAGGGATGGAGAATATTTCTCCTCTTCTTTGAAATTAAAAAGGACCCTAAGAGCTCGAAACTATTCAATTGGCATTCACCGTGGGCTGAGGTAGTGCCTGGGGCTCCCAGACAGCATGAAGACACACCGTCCAGCAGGGCAGAAGCATTAAAGAGCCTGCCACCACACGGGTGAGAAGGGCGTGGCGAGGACTCTGGTGACACTGTAACTGAGGAACACTGGAAAGAGCACATGTGAGGGAGCAGCTTTCCAGACTCAGACGACTACACACAGAGCTCAAGAGGAGGACCCCAGAGATGCAGGGCCATTCTCGTCACACACCCTATTTTTATGTCATATCAAAGGGACATACTATTGACCTGACTTACTCCTGTCAATGTTGGCCTTGATCAGCTGGCTGTGGTAGTGCTTCTTAGGTTTTACTTCTGTAAAGTTATTTTTTCCCTTTCCATACAGTACTCTTTGGAAGGAAATCACTATGTGTAGCCCACACCTGAGGAGCAGGGAGTTATAAGCATCCTCTCCTTTAGGGCAGAGTATCTACAGAAAGTATTTGGAATTCTTCTGCATAGAGAGATTTGTCTCTTTTTAAATTAATTTATTCATTATTTATGCATTGCATTGGTACGTTCTCATGGATGTTTATCTTATACTTTGAGTACTTACTGACACTACAAAATACTCCAGGTTCGTCTTGAATATTTCCTGCCCTAGTTCTAAAATCAATCGTTTCCTAAGGAGCCCTTTTCTTCTTGTTGAAGAATGGTATTAGACACCAAGATCTGGTTGCTAAGTGTGCTCATTGCTATGGGATGTCATTTCTTTTAGGTCCTGTCAGCTGACAGGGCAAAAGGTATATGTTTTTACACATATATTGATAAATATTTCTATATGTAATTATCTATATCAATATTAAGTTAAACATGAGTGCATACTGATGTCTTCAACTCTGATCCATTAACACATGGATCATTCTAACTTCTTGCCCTTGCTTATCTGTAAATTTCCATTCCAGTGGTAAGATACCTGGCTCTGATCATTCATTTATTTAACTGATTCATTCATTTATTTAACTGATCCATATCACTATACATGGACAGAAGTATACATGGACAGTTAATCCACAAACTGATGGGAAACAACTTTATCAACTAGAGTACAATGCTCATATGGAGTTCCTTTTGCTTTTAGCCTTACAGACTCCAGGCATCTCCAAATACTTAAGTCTTCAGCACTTTTTTCTCTCACCCCCTTCATTGAAGTGGTTTCATTCATTTGTAATATGGTTAGATTTTCCTGTCATAGTCTATTCCTTTCTAAAATCCCCTGATCTCCCAGATGACATCTTTTGTTTTTACAAAGAACATACATTAAGGTTCACTCTTTGTGCTATACACAGTTCAATGGGTTTTCACGAATTCTTAGAGTTTTGAATCCACCATTACAGTAACAAACAGAATAATTTTACTCTCCTAAAACTCCCATGTGCATTACCTATTCATCCCTGCCCCTGAACTCCAAATCTCAGGTGACCTCTGATCATCTCATCTCTATGATTTTCCCTTTTCCAGAATGTCACAGAATTGGAATCATATAATCCATAAACATAGAATACTTTGTGATCTCACCTTTAACAGGAAGCTAAACAACAAAACAAACAAGTAAGCAGAAAAAAAAAACCCAAAAAACAAAGACACTGAAATAGAGAACAAGGGGATAGTGACCAGAGGGGAGAAGGAAGGGAAGTTAAGGGGAAAAAGGGGGAGGGATTTGGAGGAACAAATAGGAAGGACACAGGGACGAGAACTAAGGGGGGGGAGGAAATGGGAGGGAGGTGGGGAGCAAGGGGCAGGGGAGGCTGGGATGGGAAAAATAGACAAAAAACTGTACTTGAAAAATAACTAAATAAAATTTAAAAAAAAAAAATCAATAAGCATGTCCTCAGGTAAGAGAAAACAAAATAAAACCTCAGCTTTTCAACAAAAAAAAAAAAAAAAAGAATACTTTCCATTCATTTAAATCTTCTCTAAATTCTTCCATTATAGTTAATAGTTTTCCTCATATATTTTGAACATATTTCCTTAAACATATTTTTAGATTTACATCTAAGTATTTCACTTTTTAGTGCTATTGCAAATAGTACTGTGTTTGTAATTTCACATTCCAATCATTCATTGCCTGCAACTTTCCAATAATCATTTATTTGCTATAAAAACAAAAAAATGATTTGTTTTATCCTTTAAATTGTCTACATAAACAATCATGTTATCTTCAAGGTTCGATTCCCAGTCAGGGCACATGCCGGGGTTGCAGGCCAGTTCCCTGCAGGCCAGTTCCCAGCAGGGGGCGCACAAAAGGCAACCATACATTGATGTTTCTCTCCCTCTCTCCCTCCCTCCTTCCTCTCTAAAGATAAATAAATAAAATCTTTTAAAAAACCATGTTATCTGCAAATAAACACAGCTCTATTTCTCCCTTCCCAATATGTATATATTTTATTTCCTCTTGTCTTAATGCACTAGCTAGGACTTCTAATACAATGTTGAATAGGAGTAGTGGGTGAGGACATCCTTGCCTTATTTCTAAATTATTTTAAAGCAAGTTCCAGATGTCATATTTTATCTGTAAATGCTTTGACATGTATCTCCTAAATATAAGAACTCTTTGAAAAACATAAGCATAATATGGTAATTCTTAAATTATCATATCTAAAAAAATCAATAATGCTCCTTAAGATCACCACATAGAGAGCAGGGTGTTTTTAAACCTTTACAGTCATTATTTAACACTCCCACCCCATCATATTACACACTGTATCACAGCCAGGGCTCTTTACACTCTTACAATGACTTCTCCTTCGTCCACTGTGTGGATCTTAATGTAGGTCCCCACTAACGCCTCCTTTGGAAGATCACCGTGCTTGGTATTGACCATGGGACACTTGATCAGATGAGGTTGCCTGGATCTGAAATTAGACAACTTGTTAAAAAGAACTCATTTGTAACTCAGGCAGTTCATGAGGCCATGGATAACCAGCTCCAACTCTACTGAACATGAGATCTTCCTCCCCGCTCTCGGAAGTGAGAAAACCCCAAAGCAAGCCCTGGACTGATTGCTTCAGGAATTGAAGTTTAATGGGGAAAAACCTGGAAGAGAAGATGGTAGGACCCTTTCGAACCCCTGAAAGCTATCATGTGCAAGAAGGGGCTAACGAACTCATGCAGCTGAACGAGGCCTGCTGGGCAAGAAGTCCAGGCTGGCTGACACCCTCAACATGAGGAAGGAATTTCTGAGAGCTATCCAAAAATGAAACAAACTGACAAAGGGTAAGATCTGTGCCTTTAGGGACACAACTAAAGTGGGGGCTCTTCTCGAGAGGAAGGCAGAGAAGAGATGGTTTTTGTTTGTTTGCTTGTTTGTTTGTTTGTTTACAAAGACAGACTTCCATGGGTGACTTGGAGACTCTACTTTGTTCATGCTGGGGTTAATTTTACCAGGCAATCTTGTGCTTTCTTTGGTCTCAGGCTAGGTAGAAGGAAGGGACAGGCTATGCTATATGGATTAGAGGCAGGAAAAAGATTATTTGTCAGCTGAAAATATAGCCGAACTCACCCAACACATCAATAAGGCTGGCTGCTAATCTCACCCTCACCCTCAGGACTTGCACATGAATGACACATGCCCAGCATGTCCTTTATTTTTCACTTGTGGGTCTAACCTGTCCCTTTTCCCTTTTTGATTTATAGCACAGAAATGGGGTCTGTTCCACCTCTACCTTCAGAAGAACTGGGATAGGATTTGAAGCACTGGATCCCTTAGAAAGAATATCAATCACAGAAAAGACTCAGAAGCCACAGGATGCTCATCATGAAGGCGAGCAGGCTAGAAATTGTAACAGGCAAAAGACTCCAGGAAAGTGGCACTACAGCAGTTCAGAGATGGTGACGCTGATTCCATTGTCAGTATCACTGCAATATTTTTATCCCAAATTTAATGCAGGAGTGGGGACTGCTATGTTCCTCTGGGTCCAGTGTTTAGCTGCCTCTGGGCTGGTGCCCATTGAGTCCTTTCCTGTTCCCCCGCCTCTGTGGGCTGAGGCAAAAGTGCATCCACCTTTCCCCATCATGAGAACTGTACCAGACAAGACTGAGTGCTAACAAGCTATTTGGGCTTGAATCCTCACTCTGCCACTTCCTACATGTGTGGCCTCAAACGAGTAACTTAATCTCTCTTTGTACCTTGGTTTTCTCACCTGAAAAATGGGAGTGATAACAGCAGTACTTACACTTACCTCATAGGGTTTTTGGTGAGAAGGATTAAATTAGATAATCCAGTAGCAGGCAGAGTATTCCATAAGTGTTAGATATAGTTATCTAACTATCTAACTTGTCTCATTTAACTGCCAACTTGCAACAACCCTGAGACTTAGACACTATTATCTACAGACAAGGAAACTAAGGTTTACGGAGGTCAAGTTCCTTGTCCAGGGAGACAGAGTTAAACTAAGTGGCCAAGCCAGGATGTGAACCTGGGTTGAAATGACTCCAAACCTTCTTATCTACTGCCACCCTTGGATGGTTAGAATTTTCTGAAGAGGCTCAAGGCCCACCAACACACAGATAGAGTGTCAGAACTATAAGATCAGTCCTGCTCCTTCTTCCTCAAATGGGTTCCCTGACAAAGGAAGTAGCTGGCCACCTACGGTGGCCCTGAGAGTTAGAGGCAGAGATGCAGCTCCTGGATATCAAACCTGGCACCTCTCAAGCTGCCTTACCCACACACCCCAACCTCTGGGGTCAAGCTGTACCTGTGACCTCCACCCCCTCCCCAGTATCCCTGACATTCCTGCCCTGTAAGTTATATCATCCTTTTCAACCAAAATCTGGACCCTTCTATCTGCCAAGAGCTTAACTTACTTGATCTTTGGGCCCAAGAGCTTTGGAAGACTGCCTTCTTGGGTATTAATCGTCCCACCAAAGCTGGTCCCCTGTTGCTCCCAGGCTTTCTGGAGATGCAGAAGTTTCAGAGAACTAAAATCCTGTAGAGGATATGATTTGATCTGGAATTCCTTGAATCTCTGCGCAGGAGAAGATTCTGTTAGAGAAAGCACAAGGAAACACATTAGCAGGTCTTTGTATATGTGACGGTTGTGGTGGTGACAGTTAGAGGTATATATCATAGTGACCTGCCTGGCTGGTCTGGAGCATGGGGAGATTAAGAAAAATAGAAAGAAAAAAAACCCAACACTGTGGTGTCCCTGTATTGTCCCTCTGTGTTAGACCCTGAGCTAGAGCCTTTATATCCATTGCACCCAGAAAATTGTCAGAGATAAAATGAGAAATAAAATGAGCAGCGGAGAGGTTAAGTTGCTCAGGAAAAGGCTAAAGGCTGCATTTGAACTCAGGTCTGTCTAATTCAAAGCTCATGTCTTTTAGCAGGTCACATTTATCTGGGCTTTTAAATTGGGATTGGGGGTGGGGGCAGCAATAAAAGACAAATGGAAAACCAGCCACAGAACCCTGAACAAGTCACATAATCTCTCTGAACCCTTGCAGGATAACTGTCAGAATGACAGATAAAAGCAGGTGCTATGTACCTAGCACAGTGCCCAGCACATAACAGCCCTTCCATGAGAGTTATTAACAAGTTCTCCAAGAGAATACTCCTCAGAAATAAAAAGGAGTAACCAAGTACTCAAAAATCACTGTGCTGCCCTGGCTGGTGTAGCTCAGTGGATTGTAGCACAGCCCTGTGAAGCAAAGGGTTGCTGGTTCAATTCCCAGTCAGGGCACATGTCTGGGTTGCAGGCCAGGTCCCCAGTAGGGGACACATGAGAGGCAACCATACATTGATGTTTCTCTCCCACTCTTTCTCCTTCCCAACCTCTCTCTCTAAAAAAAACAAAAACAAAAAAAAACCCACCATTGTGCTGAGTGAAAGAAGCCAGACATAAAACAGTGCATATGGCATGATTCTATTTACATAAAACCCTAGGAAAAACAAATGTATAGGAAAGACTTTCTATACAGAGAGAAAGTAGATTGTTGGTTAACTATGACCATGGATGAAGAGTACGGGTTGTCTGGGAAGGGGCACAAGGAAACTTTTTGGGGTGATGACTCTTATATCTAGATTCTGGTGGTTGTAACAGATATAAGTTCCTCAAAATTCACTGAACTACACATTTTAAATGTGTGCATTTATTGTATGAAAATTAAATCTCAATAATAATACTTTAAATTATTTATTTATTTTAGAGAGAGAAAAGAGGAGAGAGAGAGAAACATCAATTTGTCATTCCATTTATTTCTGCACTCATTGGTTGACTTTTGTATGTGTCCTGACTGGGGATCAAACCCACAACTTTGGTGTATCAGGACTCTGCTCCAAGAAACAGAGCTATCTAGCCAGGGCTCAATAATGATGACTTTAAAAACAGATCTCCAAACTCTCAGAATCAACTACTAAAGTTAATATTAATAGAAATAAGTCCAAACTGCATAAGAAGAAGGTCCTGGTTTAACAGAGTATATATAAAAACGCCTGAATATAAGCTCTTTAGAAGGCATTTTGGTAACATCTACCAACATTTTAAATGTATGTAGTCAGGACACGCTGGGTCAATGACTTGATTCATTGAATTTATTCAACATTTATGAATTTATTCAATATTTTTTGCACAAATATGCAAAGATAAATACACCAGGAAATTCACCACAATAGGGTAAAAGTGAAAAATTGGAAATAACCCAATATACTTGTAAAAAGTAATTGGTTTAATTCATTATGGCATGTATACACAATAGAATGAAACTCAGCTGTTAAGAAACATAGATCTAGGCCCTGGCTGGTGTAGCTCAGTGGATTGAGGGCGGGCCTTCAAACCAGAGTATTGTGGTTCAATTCCCAGTCAGGGCACATGCCTGGGTTGCAGGCCAGTTCCCAGCAGGGGACGCATGAGAGGCAACCATATATTGATATTTCTCTCCCTCTCTCCTTCCCTTCCCCTCTAAAGACAAATTTAAAAAAGAAAAAAGAAAAGAAACATAGATCTAGACTTCTGGCCAAGATGGAGGTATAGGTAGATATGCTTCACTTCCTTACACAACCAAAAGAAGGACAACAACCAATTTAAAAATAAAAAATAACCAGAATGGCCAGAAAATCAAACTGTATAGATAGAAGTCTGACAACCAAGGAGTTAAAGAAGAAACATTCAGACTTCCAGCCAAGATGGAGGCATAGGTAGACACACTGTGCCTCCTCGAATAACCAAAGAAGGACAACAACAATTTAAAAACAACCAAGAACCAACAGAAAATCAAACTGTATGAAAGTCCGACAACCAAGAAGTTAAAGAAGACATACTCGTCCAGACCCATAGGAGGGGCAGAGTCCGGCTCGAGGAGAGGACTCGAGGCAAGGTGGTAGCTGGAGGACCAGGCAGGCAAGGCAGCAGCTGGTGAAGCAGGAGGTCCCACATTTGCATGCAGATAAGCCAGGAGGAACAATTGGGGAATAAGACAGATCACACAACTCAGGGTTCCAGTTCAGGGAGATAAAGCCTCAAACCACTGATTGAAAACACCTATGGGGGTTGAAGTGGCAACAGGAGAAACTCCCAGCCTCACAGGAGAGTTCGTTGGAGAGACCCACAGGGTCTCTCTCCTGAGGTTACAATCCCCTAGAACATTTACAAGCCAACCCACCTGGGAATCAGCACCAGAAGGGTCCAATTTGCTTGTGGGAAGCAGGGGTAGTAACTGAAATCCAGCAGAGAGCTGAGCAAGCACCATTGTTCCCTCTCAGACCCCTTCCCCACATATAGCATCACAACACAGTGATGTGGGTTGCCCTGCCCTAGTGGGCACCTAAGCCTCCACCCCTCATATGTAACAGGCCCATCAAGACAAAAAAAAAAAAAAGGCCCAAACAAAAGAACAGATCAAAGCTCCAGAAAAAATACAACCAAATGAAGGAGAGATAGCCAACTTATCAGATGCACAGTTCAAAGCACTGGTAATCAGGAAGCTCAAAGAATTGGTTGAATTTGGTCGCAAATTAGATGAAAAATGAAGGCTATGCTAAGTGAAATAAAGGAAAATGTACAGGGAACCAATAGTGATGGGAAAGAAACTGGGACTCAAATTAACGATGTGGACCAGAAGGAAGAAAGAAATATCCAATCAGAAAAGAATGAAGAAACAAGAAACAAGAATTCAAAAAATGAGGAGAGGCTTAGGAACCTCCAGGACATCTTTAAACGTTCCAACATCCGAATTATTGGGGTATCAGAAGGGGAAGAGGAAGAGGAAGAGCAACAAGTGGAAAGCTTATTTGAACAAATAATAAAGGAGAACTTCCCCAATATGGCAAAGGAAATAGACTTCCAGAAAGTCCAGGAAGCTCAGAGAGTCCCAGAGAAGTTGGACCCAAGGAGGAACACACCAGGGCACATCATAATTACATTACCCAAGATTAAAGATAAGGAGAGAATCTAAAAAGCATCAAGAGAAAAGGAGACAGTTACCTACAAAGGAGTTCCCATAAGACTGTCAGCTGATTTCTCAAAAGAGACCTTACAGGCCAAGAAGGGGCTGGAAAGAAGTATTCAAAGTCATGAAAGGCAAGGACCTACATCCAAGATTGCTCTATCCAGCAAAGCTTTCATCTAGAATGGGAGGGCAGATAAAGTGCTTCTCAGATAAAATCAAGTTAAAGTTTCACTAGTATATGAAATGTTAAAGGGAATTTATCTAAGAAAAAGATTAAACTATGAATAGTAAAATGACAATAAACTCACAACTATCAACAACTGAACCTAAAACAAAAACAAACTAAGCAAACAACTAGAACAGGAAGTTAACTACAGAAATGAAGATCACATGGAGGGTTATCGGGGGAGGCGGAGGGGAGAAAGGCACAGGGAATAAGAAGCATAATTGTTAGGTACAAAATAGGCAGGAGGAGGTTTAGAATAGTATGGGAAATGGAGAAACTGAAGAACTTATATATACGGCCCATAGACATGAACTAAGTGGGAAGAATGCTGGAGACAGTGGGGTATACAGGGCAGTGGGGTAAAGGGGAGAAAAAATGGGACAACTATAATAGCATAATCAATAAAATATACTTTAAAATAAAAGAAACATAGATCTAGACCTGTGGTTCAAGCCAAATGGCCTAACATGGACTAGATTTACTCCCCCACTTGAAACTACTGAAATATCAGGCTAAATGTATGAAAAAAATGGTTTTCAAGACACTGGTCATTTGGTCACAGTCTTGAAAGACAGAAAACAAAATGGGTGAGCCCTACTATTGCCCCAATTTACTGCCTAGAGATTTTCCGGGACATGGTACAGGGAAGAGAAATTCAAGTGCTTTCTCTGAATTCATGAGATTCGACTGAGACTCTGGGGAGAACAAAGTAGCTAAGTTCACAGAGCACAGTGCCAGGGAGGAGAGAGCTGCAAGAGGGAACTCTGAAGATCTTCCAAGGCTTCCCCTTCAGTCTCAGCTGAGTACTGAACATGTGTATCATGGTAGCAAACCAACAGTGGCAGGCAGCCTCTAAGATGGACCCCAATGAGCCCCACACTTCCTGGTATTCACACATTGTGTAATACTTCCCATTAAGCATCAGCTGAACTTGATTCTAACAAACAGAACACAACAAAAGTGATGGGATGTAGTTTTGGATTAGGTTTAAAAGACTGTAGCTTCTGCCTCAGGCACACTCTGTGCTGCTCTCTCTTACTTCTAGGGAAGCAAGCTGCCATGTCATAAAACAACTCTACAGAGACATTCATGAGGTGAGGGGCTAATAGCCATGTAAGTGAGCTTGGAAATGACTCCCTCCCAGTTGAGGTTTCAGATGAGACCACAACCCTGGCAGGCAGCTACAACCTCCTGTGACGACTTGAGCTAAAGGCACTCAGCTAAGCCATGCTCAAATTTCTGACCCACAGAAACTGAGAGATAATAAGTGTTTGTTGTTTTAATTCAGCAGGTTTTGGAATAATCTGTTACACTAGTACCCAAGACTGGGAAAGAATCATCCAAAATAATTAGAGAATAAATCATCAGAGCTCACACAGAACCAGAAGTAGTTCCTATACCCAATACCTAGAATAGAAAACCTCATGAGTCATGGGGCGCCATGAAATATTCAAAATGGTTTTTCATTATGAATGGGGCAAAATTAGCTCTAGATTGAACATTGCTCTGATCCCACCTAACAAAGCTTAAAAGCTAGTCTCCAAAAGATAAAAATATTCCCAAGAAATTTAACTATATCCCAGAACAAAGCTCATGAATATTTATAGGAATAAAAATACATAGCACCCAAAATTCAGTTTCTAGCATCCTATGAAAAATTATGAACCATGCAAAGAAGTAGGGAAGTATGAACCATACAAGGAGAAAAAAAACAAGGAATTGAAACTGGCTCCAAAATGACAAAATTAATATAAAAGGACATTAAAACATTATCACTTATTAACAGCTATTATCATATACACGAAGGGGACATTTTGTGCACATGAAGCAAAGACATGGCAGTTATTTTTTTAAATACCCAAATCAAGTTTCTAAATATGGAAACAACAAGGTCTGAAATGAAAAACACAGTGGATTGGATTAATAGCAGCTTGGACAATGCAGAGACTTGTAAACTTGAACACATAGAAATAAAAACTATACAAAATGACAGAGAGAAAAAAGACAAAAAAGAGAGAGAGAGAAGCATTAACAGACCATCAGTGAAACAACTTCAAGCAACTCAATGCACATATAGCTGGGGTCCCCAAAGTGTAGGAGAGAGTGGGAAAAATTAATGGCCAAAATGTGCAAATATGATAAAATAACATAAACCCCCAAATCCAAGAAACTAAATGAACCCCAAGCACAGAAACATGATGAAAATTATGTTAGTATTTCATCTTTGTTGTATTTTCTCCATTACCATTTGGTCCCCTTATACCTCCTCCCCACAATCACCACAGTGTTGTCCATGTCCATGAGTCTTTTTCCTTTTTGCTCAATCCCTCTACCCCTAACTAGCCCCGCTTAGCAGTCATCCTGCTCTCTCCATCTATGCTAAGTGAAATAAGCCAGTCAGAGAAAGACAAGAACCATACGATTTCACTCATATGTGGAATCTAATGAACACACTGAACTAACAAGGAAAATTGGAACAGACTCATAGACGAATAACTACACATTCTTATGTATCCAGGTAGTGTTCTGAGTTGTCATCTGCTTAATTTCATTACTAGTCTATGAAGTAGGGACCACAATTCACCTTTTACAGACTGAGGGCATGGATACACAGGGACAGAGAGTGACTTGTTTAGAATTACACACAGCTGGTGAGAGACAGACCCTGGATTCAGACACAGGTTGGCTCCTGGGCCTATGGTCTAAACCTGGCCCAGACGCTTAAGTACCCAATAAAGTCACCCAGTTAATCACTGGGATGCAAACCAGGCTCTGTCTAGCTCCAAGCTCTCTTTTGCCCCTGCCCTCTACCTGGAGGAACCTGAAGCGAAGAGGAAAGGCTACAAAGGAGTGGCAGAGGTGGGCTGGAGCCTAACCTGGCCAGGTTGCGTGGACCAGGTCTCCACAGCTTGTAGAAGAAGGGGTCCAACCAGACATCCCGCCAGGCCTTCTTAGCTCTAGATTTCTGAGGCTCTACAGGCTGGGGACTGGGAACGGTATGGGACCAAGTACCCCACAGTGGCTTACCTTTGAGGTTGGTCTTCAGAGCTCTGTCATCTATCAGCTCCAGATGCTGCCAGATCCACTTGTAGTAGGAAGGCGAGGCCTCAAGGTCTAGTAGCCGCAGGACTTCACAGCTGCCCTGGACACATCAAGGGACGCAAACCAAAGGTTTAATCTCGAGGGCTCCAAGAAGGCCACGCTTTGAAAATAGATTCTCTGTATTGTGACTCATTCAATTGTGTTTTACTAGCTCAGTACAAGTAGTTCCAGGTCCTTTTTATTAAAAAATTAAAATGTTATATACTTACAGAAATTCAAACAGCAAAAGAGGCATGAGAACCAAATATAATGTTGACACTGGAAATAATCATTGAGGATGTCATTGGGACACTGGGTGAAACAGATTATGGACTATAGATTATACATCTTTTTAATTAAAAAAATATGTTTGTTGATTTTAGAGATAGAGGAAGGAAAAGAAAGAGAGGGAGAGAGAAACATTGACTGGCTGTCTCCTACATGCACCTTGACCAGGGACTGAACCCGCAACCTAGGTACGTGCCCTGATTGGGAATTGAACCCCCAGTCTTTTGGTGTATGGGATGATGCTGCGACCAACTGAGCCACACTGGCAAGGACTATAGATTACACACAAACGTTAAATTCCCAGATTTTGATGATCATTCTATGGTTAATTTCAGATTTTCGAGAAAGTACTCATGTAAGTGTATGGGGTAAATAAGTATGATGAATGACACTTAACTCTCCAATGATTCAGGCAGGGGAAAAAACATATATATATATATTAAAGCAAATGCCACAAATGTTAACAATCGATGAATCCAGATTTAGGTTCTATAAATCTAAAATTATCCTAAACTAAAAGTTTAAAAATATTTAAACCAAACAGAGTTAAACCTATCTCAATCTTAACACCCAGAAACAACAAATAATAACATTTTGGTGCATATTATTTCAAACTTTTCTCTATAAGCTTACACAATTTTTTCATAAATGAGCCCATTTATGTAAACAGACTTTTGTAACCTTTTTTAAAATTCAGCATATCAAGGACATCTTTTCACACCAAGCAATATGGTTCTACATTATTGCTTCTAATAATCACATATTATTCTACGTACATTAGGATTTGGAAAAAATTGAAAACAACAAATATTCAGATGAGCAAAAGAAGTCAGACACAAGAGCACATATCATATGATTCCATTTATATGAAGTTCAAGGGCATGTAAAAGTACTTTGTGGTGACAGAAGTCAGAAGAGGGGTTGGGAGAATGTGTCTGGAAAGGGCACAAGGGAGCCTTCTGAGGTGCTAAGAACGCACTCTGTCTTGATTTGGGTGATGCTTACACTGACAAGCACATACAGAAAAATTCACCAAGCTGTAACACTTAGAGTTATTTATTGTATATGTTACACCTCAAGAAAATATTTTTGAATTAGGTATGGCCTTCTTACTTGCTTTGGCCAATTTCTGTTAGCACAGTGATGTGCGATACTCTAGGTGGAAACTTTAAAAGCCAGTGTTCCATTCTCAACATTCTCTTCCCTCGCCCCATTGATCATGGGAGCATGGGTCCCTGAGTGACCATAAGGAGTGAGACCAGCTGGCCTGCTATGATCAAGTAGTAGGCTGAAGAAATAAATCTTTGTTAGTTAGTCCACTGAGACTTGAGGATTGTTTATAATTACAGCAGAATCTAGTTTACTTAATAGAATACCCATGTTCAATTATCTCCTTGGGATTAACTCCTAAAGGTATGAACGTTTCATTTTTAAAGATTTTATTTATTTATTTTTAGAGCGAGGAGAAGGGAGGGAGAAAGAAAGGGAGAAAAATATTGATGTGTGAGAGAAACATCATCACTTGCCTATTGCACACCCCGACGGGGACCTGGCCTGCAACCTAGGCATGTAACCTGACTGGGAATTGAACCAGTGACCTTTCGGTTTGCAGGATGATGCCCAGCCCACTGATCCACACCAGTCAGGGATCTGCATGTTTTTGATACACATTGCTGAACCGCCCTCCCAAAATGTTAGATCGGTTTTGACCCTCTCGGACAGTGCATAACCAAGCCCCTTGTAATACGTCTTTGTGTTATGATGACGACTGGGTTTGCACAATCCTTTTAATCTTCTCTAATCTGATAGGCAAGAAAAAAGTCATTCCAGCCCTGGATGGTGTATTGAGCTCAGTGGATTGAGCACGGCCTGTGAAGCAAAGGATCGCTGGTTCGATTCCCAGTCAGGGTCATGCCTGGGTTGCAGGCCAGGTCCCCATAGGGGACACATGAGAGGCAACCACACATTGCTGTTTCTCTCCCACTCTTTCTCCTTCCCTTCCCCTCTCTCTAAAAATAAATTAAAAAATTTAAAAAGTCATTCCAAAAATCTTACCATTTTTTAGTAGAAACTCTAAGGGATACATTATGAAGGGTTAAGGTTCAGGACAGATTACCGTTGAAGAGGAGAAGAAAGGATAAAAACATTTAATAAGCCCTTATTATGTGCCAGGCATTGTGCCTGGAGCTTTATTCATCATTCATTCAGCAAACATTTATCAACCAGGAACTCCAGGTGCTAGAAAAAAACCACTCCCAACAGCTTCTTCTTAGAAAGACTCTCATGGGTATTTAGCCACATCTGTATCTGTGGAGAAAAAAACTTCACCATGTGTCCTCAAATGATAAACTGTTCAAAATGAGTTGATTATGGGCATTAATTTTGTTTGTGATGCCAGCAGGAAATCAGGTTCTACTTTTCTTGGGTCTCAAGGACTTCCAGCCACCAGCTGCTGATTTTGCCCTCTAGTGGTAATATGAGTCAACTACAGGAGTTAAGACATCCAGTCTCCTTAGCGGAGGAACACTCCAGGAGCTGGCTGGACGGGGAAATAAAAATGGGGAAAAAAAAACAGTTCCTTTACAGAGGACATGTGCTCTTCACCTCCAGCTAGAGGGGGACACACCTGATATTTCCTGATCTTCTAACTGTACAAAAAAAAGGCAGAAATCAGTACTTTTCTGTACAATCTTCACGTTGATGATTAAATCACCCTTTTTAAAAAATCCTCACCCAAGGACTTTTTTTTCATCGCTTTCAGAGAGAGATGAAAGGAGAGAGAGGAACATCAATGAGAGAAAAAAGCATCGATTGCTTGCCTCCTGCATGCACATGGACTGGGGACCATATGTGCCCAGACCTGGGACCAAACCCGCAACCTAGGTGTGTGCCTGACTGGGAATCAAACCTTTTAGTTACAGGAGGATACTCTAACCAACTGAGCCACACTAGCCAGGGCTAATTCAGCTTTTAATAAAACATTGAAGGGACAAACCAAACTTATCTGGTGGTTAGGATGAGTTTGTGACATCTCTATTATTTTTCTCAGCATGAAGTCCAAGCGTGCCTGCATTAGAATCACCTGTGACACTTATTCCAAATGCAGTTTTCCAGAGTTAATGAATCGGGATCTCTTTGGTGAGGTGGGAATCTGCCTATTTAAGAAGCACCCTAGGTATTCTTTGTTTACTGAAAATTGAAAACTCCTCGCTTAAATCACAGGTTCCCCAACTTTAGTTAGTGTGCATCAGAATCACCTGAAAGGCTGAGAAAAGACGTTACTGAGCCCCCCCGCCCCCCAGAGTTTTGGATTTAATAGCTCCTGGGTGGGCCCCAAAATCTGTAATTTTCAGGAGTTCCCAGGTGATTCTGATGCTGCTAATCTAGCCACACACTCTGAGAACTACTGGATTAGAGGATAAATGTCAATTGAGTGAGTATATGGTAAATTCTCCTCCTTACAGACTTTAGGAGGTAAACTGGTTCCATCTTACAGATGAAGAAAAGGAGGCAAAGAAATTAAGAACAGTTCCCCACTTTCTGCTGGTCAGGATGTAATCATCCTGCTGATTAAAGGAAGTCTTAGACTATAATCCCCCCCCTCAATAATTTTAGGAAACATTTTAGGAAAAATAACTTTTAAGATTGAGCTCGGGCCTGAGAACCAGACAGTCGCGGTTCGATTCCCGGTCAGGGCACATGCCAGGGTTGCAGGCTGGTTCCCTGCAGGCCAGTTCCCAGCAGGGGACACACAAAAGGCAACCATACATTGATGTTTCTCTCCCTCTCTCCTTCTCTTCCACTCTAAAGATAAATAAATAAGTAAAATCTTTTAAAAAACCACTAAATTTATTAAAAAAATAACTTTTAAGAATGACAAAGCAACTTCCAACTAAGATGGAGGCGTACATGGAAATACTGTATACTGTACCTCCTCACACAACCAAATTTAAGGACAACAAAAATTTAGAAACAAAAACACAACCAAATCAGACAGAAAATTGAACTATACAGAAGTCCAACAAAAACGAACCATTTGTCCAGACCGGTAAGAGAGGCAGAGTCGGAGGCTGGCGGAGAGGGGTTGCGACAGGGAAAAGCAGAGGCTGCTGGACCAACCCAGGCACACAGGCGGTGGTTGCAGATCCCAGGCGTGGGGTGGCAACAGGCAGACCCAGTGAGAGCGCAAGGTGGCTGGCTGACCATGGTCACACATCCACGTGCAGATAAGCCAGGCGAAAAAACGAACAGTGAAACAGATTGAGCAATGGAGGGCCCCGGCACCAGGAAATAAAGCCTCAAAGCACCGATTGAAAAATCTTTTGGGGGTTGAGGTGCCAGGAGAGGCTCCCAGCCTCACAGGAGAGTTTGTTGGAGAGACTCACAGGGTCCTAGAATGTACACAAGCCCACCCACCCAGGAACCAGCACCAGAAGGGCCCAATTTGCTTGTGGAAAGCAACAGAGGGGACTGAAATCTTAAAGAGAAAGGAACAAGTGCCATCGCTCCCTCTCTGACCCTGCCCCCACATACAGCGTCACAACCCAGTGACTTGGGTTGCCCCCCCCAGTGAACACCTAAGGCTCTGCCCCTCATATGTAACAGGCACCAACAGACCAAAACATTATGGCTCAAGCAGAACACCTCAAAGCCCTAGAGCCAATACTTCTAAGTGACCAAGAGATAGTCAACCAACCGGATGCACAGTTCAAAACACTGGTGATCAGGATGTTCACAGAATTGGTTGATTTTAGTTGCAAATTAGAGGAACATATCAAGGCTACACCAAGTGAAATGAAGCAAAGTGCACAGGGAATCAATAGTGATGGACAGAAAACTGAGACAACAGAGTGGACCAGAAGGAAGAAAGAAACAATCAAACAAAAAAGAATGAAGAAACAAGAATTCAAAAAAATGAAGAGAGGTTTAGGAACCTCCAGGACATCTTTAAATGTTCCAACATCCGAATCATTGGGGTACCAGAAGGGGAAGAGGAAGAGCAATAAGTAGAAAGCTTATTTGAGCAAATAATAAAGGAGAACTTCCTCAATCTGGCAAAGGAAATAGACTTCCAGGAAATCCAGGAAGCTCAGAGAGTCCCAAAGAAGGTGGACCCAAGGAGGAACACACCAGGGCACATCATAATTACATTACCCAAGATTAAAATGGAGGAGAGAATTCTAGAAGCAGCAAGAGATAAGGGAACAGTTACCTACAAAGGAGTTCCCATAAGACTGTCAGCTAATTTCTCAAAAGAGACCTTACAGGCAAGAAGGGGCTAAAAAGAAGTATTCCAAGTCATGAAATCCAAAGACCTACATCCAAGATTGCTCTATCCAGCAAAGCTTTCATTTAGAATGGAAGGGCAGAGAAAGTGCTTCTTAGATAAGGTCAAGTTCAAGGAGTTCATCATCACCGAGCCCTTATTATATGAAATGTTAAAGGGACTTATCTAAGAAAATGAAGATAAAAAAGATGAACAGTGAAAGGACAGCAAACTCACAGTTATTAACAACCACACCTAAAACAAAAGCAAACTAAGCAGACAGCTAAAACAGGAGTGGAACCATAGAAATGGAGATCACATGGAGGGTTAGCAACAGGGGAGTAGGAGGAGGAGAAGAGGAAAGAAGGTACAGAGAATAAATAGTATAGATGGTAGGTAGAAAATAGACAGGGGGAGGGCAAGAATAGTGTGGGAAATGTAGAATCTAAAGAACTTATGACACATGGACATGAACTAAAGGGGGGAATGCGGAGAGGGGGTATGCAGGGTGGAGGGGAATGAAGGGGGGATATGGGACAACCGTAATGGCATAATCAATAAAATATATTTTAAAATTAAAAAAAGGAATGACAAAGCAGATATCAGGGAAAAGAAGGAACTGCAAATTATTCAGGTTGACTTTCGGTACTCTACCTTTTCTTCTAGGCTCTCTCCCTCTCTTCTCACATGACCATCAGGATTCTCCAAACTTGTATAAACCTCAGGCACATCCCTACTGCAAGCTGGCTTCCCACTATTCCCCTCAGCTGGCAAGGACCTCATCCTCATCTCCACCCACGACTGAGTCAGATCCTGTGCATCCAATCCCCTTTTGTGTGTTGAGGCTGGAAGCCAAACACTCACATTTCCTAAGCACCCCCACAGCTAAGGCTCTGGACGTGATTTGGGTTCTACCAGTCCGATGCACTCGGGTAGGCTTGGTTTTGGAACTGCCAGACATCCACTTTGTCAGTGGAGGTGGTGGCTATAGAAGTAGCTTCCTGAACATGGCAGGAGCAGCAGCACTCATGGCACTCCTGATCCGGACTCTGATCTGGAGTTGTCTGGGGGCCATTTTCAGTCCAGGTCTGTTTCTTCAGTCCTTCCACAACCCCCAATAAACCTTTTAGCCATTGAATAAGTCTGTTAGTCAATGAATCCCTTTCTGCTCAGGTTAGCCATAGTTGACTCTGTTCTTTAGGACTGAACCCAGAATAATAACACAAGTCGCATCCCTGGTGGTACTGTTAGGTTTAACATTTGGCTCTCTAGGAAAATGTACACAAATTTATAAACTTTACTCTTATAAAGAGTATGTTATATTTAACTTATAAATACCAAAACATACCATACTTTTATTGGAAATTCCACATAGCCAATGATTCTCATAGAATGCTTCTGTTGACCTTGGCTGAACTCATATCCATAGCCAATTTATAGTCACAATTTCAACCATGATTTGACAAATGAATTTGTATCCCAATATACTGTTTTCCCAATAAATTTAATATTATTAAATCTGACTTCTAGTTTACTGGTAAACTATTTCTCACTCTCGAATAAACTACATTAATTAAATTGAAACCTCTTTTAGCTTTATCACTATGTATATCAGACTTCACTATTCATCAATGATATGACTAATTTCTATGATAAATCAGATAATACCTTTTAAATACTAGAAGAATATTTTTTCAATTTTCTTCTCTTCATAGTGTGATGGCTACAGACCCTATCCACTATTAAATATAGCCTGCATTATAAACACTTTCTCGTCCTGGCTGGTGTAGCTCAGTGGATTGAGCACAGGTCTGCGAACCAAAGGATCGCAGTTCAATTCCCAGTCAGGGCATATGCCTGGGTTGCAGGCCAGTTCCCTGCAGGCTAGTTCCCAGCAGGGGACGCACTAGAGGCAACCATACATTGATGTTTCTCTCCCTCTCCCCTTCCCCTCTAAAGATAAATAAACTTTTTTAATCTTAAAAAATAAATAAATAAACACTTTCTCTATAGCTTTCTTAAGACAATCAGCAAAACCATAAATCAAGACCTGACTTAAGAGTATCTATCTGCCCATCTCCCTGTGTAAATTCCCATGGTGGTCAATTTTAAGCAACCAATGAGAGTGAAGTCACTGAATGTAGAGTTGAGAAGAAATGTACACAACTGTAGAGTATTTCCACCATATAGATGCAATAGACATAAGTAACTTCAAAAGCATCCATGATAGTAAAATGCAGTGACATCATTAGAAAATAGTGGGTTTTCAGCACTTATTGCTCTTGTTTTCGACATAATATATACTTAATTATAGGTTTATATAATTTAATATTTAATAACTAAAGTGTTTACTGACACACAGAATTCCTGAAAACTTAATCAGCTCTCCAAGGCCACTATGAGCCAGCTCCAGTACAACCAATTTTGTTCCTCCTTTTGTCAAATGGTCCGATACTTCAAGGCTCATCTCCTGCCTCTCCTCTTCTAGGTAACCTTCCTTAAAGCCTCCAGTCTTTAGAAGAGCTATCTCTCCTGAATTCTTTTTAAATTTTCATTCATTGATTTTTGGAGAGAGAGAAGGAAGAGAGAGAAAGGGAGCAGGAGATAGAGAGGGAGGGAGGGAGAGAGAGAGAGAGAAATCAACCTGCTCTTTCACTGATTTATGCATTCACTGGTTGATTCCTGAATATGCCACGACTGGGAATGGAACCCAAACCCTGGCACATTAGGACAATGGTCCAATCTCCTGAGCCACCTGGCCGGGGCTCTCTCCTGAATTCTTATAACTCAGAGTTTGCACTAATCACTTGGTAATTGGCATTGACTCCTTTGTCTATGCTCAGAATCTAGTGAAGGAGATATATAAGGAGAGAGAACCAGTATTTTCCATCTTCGTATCCCTTCTGAGCCTGGACCAATGTATCCTGGACCTTGGCAAAAACTTAACAAATGTCTATGGTGGCTTGACATTTAGATAATAGATATATGGGTAGTACCAAAAGTTTGGGGGCAGGACTCTGGCTCTGCCACTTAGTAGCTGGGTGGCCTCTCTTAAGGTATGTTATCTATGACGGCCTTCTGTAAACTTAGGATAATAATATCTTCCTTAGAGAGCTTTGGTGAATATTTGTGGTGAAATACTATGTACAAGGTTACTCATCAAAACACTGTTTGAAATAACAAAAGATTGAGGCAATCTAAATATCCATCCATGGGAATCCGGTTAAGTAGAGTACAATCACAGTAAAATACTACACAGGTAGAGAAATAAAATGAGTGTGTTCTCTATGTACTAATATGAAACAATCTACAGAAATGGTCTTAAACAAAAGAGCAAAGTGCAGAACAGTCTGTATAATTTGACACCATTTTTGAAAAAAAGGACTAACCATACGCACACGCATTTGCCTGTCTCTGCGGAGAATACGCACAGGACAGACATGCAGGAGCCTGGTGACAGCAACTGCCTCTAGGGAAGAACACTGGGTGGCGGCAGCGGAAGGAGCCGGAAGACTTACTACTCTTTTGAACCTTTTGAATTTTGAACCATGTGAACATACTACCTATTCTAAAATACACACACAAAACTTAATGATGCTAGTAGAACCCCTGGCACAAGCCAAAGAACCTCAAAAACTGGTGACTCTTAAAACGATAATAATGATTAACTACTGAGGGTCTGAGCAGGATCAACAATTGACAGGAAGTCAACTCCAATTCCAAATCCCAGCTCCCTAGGAGGAGGGCTTTGGAGTCAGGCCTGGGTGGAACCCTGCCTCTGTGTGACCTTGGACAAATCACTTAACCTTCCTGTGCATCAGGTTTCCTCCTCTGTGAGATGAGAATAATAACAATACCAACCTCCTTTTGCTGTTTTGAGGCTGAAATGAAATAAAGCATGTGAAGCATGCAGCCTGGTACACAATAAGCGCTCAATGTGTTAGATTTTCTTATTATCAGCCAACTGAGAAGTTGGCAAAGGCATCAAGCAATTCTCAAAAGACAAAATTTAGATAGTGAACAAACATGATTAATCTTACTAATAATAAAAAAATATATAAATTAAATTCTCAATGAGGCAGCAAATGCCAGTTGCGGGTGCTGTAAACCCCACCTACCTGGCCACGGGATGTTATGTCAGGCATGCTCTCCCCAGCTAATCCCAGCCCGGACTTCTTACCCTGCAGACGAACATGACGGAGGCCGACTTGACAATGTCTTCTGAGATCAGCTGCCCATACGAGTACTTCTCCACCTTCCCCAGGGTTACCAGCTTCCAGAGATTCTCATCAGACAACGACAGTAACAGATCCATCTTCCTGAAGGGAAAAGCCTGTTATAATTCGTTGCCCTCTATCACAGAAGGTGCACAGCTCTTAGCAATTTCCAGAACGGGAGCGTGTCCTGTGGTTGGAAGATTTCACACACCCGCCAATCGCCTAGCCTGTGGCCAGTCTCCTATCACATTGCTTCAGCTCCCTCTGCCCTCTTCTCGAGGCCCTCGCCTCTTGCCACTGCCCTCTGCTGCTTCTCAAACACACCTGTGTAATCCACCAACTGTGATGCTCTCACTTCTGTTCTCCCTCCAGGAGACTTTCCCCAGCTCCACTGCCCACACCCTTGTGGCTCACTAACCTAGTCCCATTCTAAGGAATACCCTGAAAGGGCCTCACTTCAGCTCACCAGCTATTCTTCCCCCAAAACCCAGAAGTCCTGGCCCTACTTTGGTTTGGGAAGCTCATTCCCACTCATCTCCTATGGCCTATGGGCTTCAAATAATCGGCCCTGGGGAAGTGTCTGGACTCACCTCTTTTTGCCGGATTGTTCTGTGGTTGAAGGCCCACCACAGTGACCACCCCTTCCCCTGACCTCATATGCCATATACATGTGTTTGTCTTCCCTCATGTGTATCCCCAAGGGGCTACTACCAATTGTCTTAGATTTTCTCAGCTCAGAACTTGGTGACTCAAGCCTCAGTGGGGGCACTGAGTTCCATCCAGAGCACCAGAGGATAACAGGGTTGGTGCCATGTCTAGGTGAGGAGAAGGATTTGGACACACTGAAATGGGGCCACTGTAAAAGGAGCACCTACTACATGCCAAACACGGGGTCACGTATTTCCCATGATCCTCTCATTTGATCCCTACAGTGACCTTGGGAGAGAGGAATCATAATCTCTATTTCACAGAGCAGGAGACTAATGCTGGAGAAGTGAAGTGACCTACCTAGGGTCACATGGCCAATAAGCATAAGAGCTGAGACTGAAGGAACCCACCGTGTAAGCAAATGAACTGCTCCATCCTTGGGCTAACTTCCCCCTTGTCTGGCTCCAGCTCGTTTGTGAAGCTCTCTCTCAGTTCTAGTCCACAGGGACTCTCTGCCTGTCATAATTCTCTACAGCCTGCAACCTACAACCTGTATTTTCAATACGAGTGCATATACTTCATTGACTTCCACTCTTTCCCTAAGGGCAGGTAACTAAAGATAACTTGTGACTACCTGCATGTGCCTGGCACTATGACAACACAGGGGTTATAGTGGTGAAAAGGGCAGATGTGGCCTTGTCACCCACCATACTGCTTACTGTCTGATGAGGCAAATACACTGTAAAGAAAGTACTGTGTAATCAAGAATTAGTTTGGATGGGGTTTTACGGAAACATAGTGTGATAAAAGCATTGAGAAGGCAACCTCTATATCCTGGAGTGAGGGTAGGTGGGGTTAGACAGTGAAGTGGGGTGGTGAGGCCTAGAGACCTCTGAATCAGACATTCTGGAACATCCCCATCCTGAGCCTTACTTCCCTCACCTGTAAAATGGGGAGAATGAGAGAAACATCCCCACAGGACTGAATGTGAAATTAAATAAGGCAGGTAGTACTAAGCTCTTAGCTCCCTGCCCTGGCCCCACAAGCACTCAGTCCATGTTAGCCATTCTAGTATTACGGTTCCACAAAGAAGGGATATTTGAGCTGAGACCTGAAGGTATAGCGGGAGCCTGCTAGAAACGTTGAGGGGAAGGGGAGTGGGTACTGAAGAACATTTTGGGCTAGGAGAAAAGCACCCAGATTTTCCCACCAGGCCTGGGACAAACTTTGGCACCTAATAAACACCCAGGGGGAAGATGCTGGCTGATGATGGAGTTACCTAAAAAATTCAAACCGAGACTGAGCATCCTTTTTAACTTCCCAGTCCAGGTTATTTGCAATGAAATCCTCTTTGTCAACAACCAAGAGCTCTGTTTCTTCCATACAGACCACAGTGGCTCTCCTTACTGAAGAACTCAGGAGACCCATTTCCTGTTGGGTAGACAGAGGCAAAGGCAAGTGAGAGGTTACTTCTGGCTTCCTGCTTGCACCTTGCACACCAGTTTCCTGCTTTCATCACCCCCCACTTCTCTGGAAATCTCTTCCCCAGACTGCAGGTTCCTGGGCCAACCCTGTGCTCCTGCTCATCCCCCTCTTCAATGGGACCACTCCTCCCTCTTAATATATTGCCTGTGGTAAAAGAGGCAACACATTTGATGAGGCCAGAGACAGGAGGCTGGAGAGGCCGCCCTGAGGAGTCACACCGTATTTCTAAGGGGTTATATGGGGAACATACTCCTTAAATATCACAAAAGGAGAGGATGGCCTTGGCTAACTAACGTGTGGCTCAGTTGGTTGGGCATCATCCTGCAACATGAAAGATCACTAGTTTGATTCCCTGTCAGGGCACATGCGCAGGTTGCGGGCCCAGCCCCCAGTTGGGGTGTGTGCAGGAGGCATACAATCAATATGTTTCTCACACATCAGTGTTTCTCTCCCCTTCGCTTTCCCTCCCTTCCCCTCTCTCTAAAAAGTAGGTAAATAAAGTTAAGAAAAAAAAACCAGATTGGCCTTGGACAGCACTTGGTTCAACTCCATTGGCATTTGACAGTTAAGGGTGCTGGGACCCATAACGGCCGTGGCTTGCACAGAGAGTAAGGCAGGACTGGCTCTGGCTGAGAGGTTCTAACAGAACTCCTCTCCCACCCCAACCCCACCTCAGGAAGCCAGGCCCTCCCCCCCCCCCCCCACCCCGTTACCCCGAAACAGTCGCCCTTGCACAGAAGCATTGGATGGGGGTCTAGGAAGGCACTGCTGCCATCTTCATCCTCGGTCACTGCGACTCTGCCCAGGTAGATGAAATAAAAGCTGTTGCTCTTCCGCACCTTCTTTATGATCACACGCTTGCGACCAAACCTGGGAAAAGATCGTGGCAATTTGATCTGGTAGCAACGCAGAGCCCAGTACTGGGCTAGAGAAGAGCTGGACTGGTGGCGCTCTTTGTTCTGGAGCAGGAAAGCACAGACTGGGACAAAAAGGACCTGAGAAGAGCTGAGGCCCACCTCCATGAAACTTCACTTCTTCATGAACACTTATCTAGTTGTCCACCTCTGTTAGATTAAAGCTTCCTGTGAACAGAGCCTCTGCCAGTCTGCTTAGGCACATAGTAAATGCTCAATAAACTGTTGTGAAATAAATAAATGAATAAATGCTAAAAGCAATGGATAAGTAGCTAAATAATTAAGAGCGTTGGCTATATAGAGTCACATTAAGATGCCAATCCTGGTTCTGCCCCTGCGCCAGTGGGCAAATCATATCCCCTTTCTGAACTTCTGTTTATCTTGTTTGTAAAATACACATGAGTATGTCTAGAAAGAGATAGATAAATGGTCTTATTATGATCCTCAAGAACTTGCTACTCAACTGGGAATGCTTAGAGTAGAAGTGTCCAGGTCCAGAAAAAACTGGAAGTTAGTTCTTAAGCTCAGAGGAAAGTTTCTGTATTTCAAATGCAAGCTTAAGTCTCACTTCTTTCAATATTCATTCATTTTCTTCATTCATTCAATAGTTAAATAAATGCCAACTGTGTCTATCAGGCACAGTGATAAAGGACAGAGATTCTGTTCTCAAAATTATAGTCAAGTAAGATTTAAAAATGCTTAAGGAGAGGTAAGCGCAGGCTAATCAGAAGCACAGAGAAGGGACATTTAATGCAGTTTAGGAAAGCCAGAGCAAGTTCTGAGAGAGTGGCTGGAGTCACCCAGGTAGACAGAGTGATAGAAGAATGTCCTAGGCAGATGGACCATCATGTCCAAAAGCACAGCAGAGGCTGGAAGCATGACACGTTCACAGGGACACCGTAAACTCCATTAGAAGGGGGATGTGGGAGATATGGAGGAGGTCAGAGGAGTAGTGGAAGAGAAATCTGGCTCGGTCCAATCACAAGGACTTCAAAAGCTGGGCTCAATTTGGATTTGGGGCAGAAATGGGGAGCCCAAAGTCTCTTCCAAGATCTGATGAAACAGTGGCCTTTGTAGAAGTGCCCAGTGTTTTCCAGACTGCTGCCATCCCCCTCAACTCCAACCTGTCTGCCCTGCCCTCAACCTGTCTTCCCCATCCCCCTTCCTCTCCTCACTGAGCTACCAGCAGCAGGAGAGCCAACCTCCTGCACAGGCCGAGTGTATTACTTCCTTTGTTTCGTTCATTGTCCACACTGCTCCCCTGCAAGGAATAGCCTTTCTTCTCTTATCCACCTATTCAAATTCTCTCAAGAGCTCAAGATCCAGCTCAGATCCTATCTCCTCCAGTAAGACCTCCCTGACTCAGCCCACAGAAACCTCTCCCCTTTGGAGCTTCCAGACCACCCACCAGCCCCATGACCCTGTGGCAAACTCTTGGGGGCAGGGATCAGAGAACAGGTGGACTGAGGACAGCATTAGTCTGGAGTCAGTTAGCTTCAGGCTCCCCTCTGGCTGTGGCCTTGCTCAGATACAAACCAGAGGCAATGTCAACTTAGAAAGAAGGTGATGACCCAGGTAACAATGACTAGATCGGGTAAGGCAGGCATATTCAGCCAGGAAATAAGACACTGTGGACAAAAGAGCACAGCTCTCCTACAGCTGGAGCCAGAAAGACCCTCAGGGGCCATTTGGCTCAATCTACATTTTCACGATAAGGAAAGTGGGGCCCTGGGGAGCCCACAACTTGCTGAAGATCACACAGCGAGTCACACTTGAGGCAGCACCAGCACCTGAATCTCCTCCAGTAGACATCTATGTTTTTGCTGCCAAGCATCTGGTCACATTTTTCTACGAACTGCACCTAATTTTGCTTTGGGGGAAACACCCTTTCCTGACTCTCACACTCTCTTATTAATTTACGCTATGAAGTACCAAGAGGTAAAGAGAGACACTGCATCCTGGTGACATTAAGGCCCTGATTCCAGATCATTGTGAAGCTGGAGAACTATCACAGGACTTTGCAGATACATGAGCCACTAATGCATACCCTTGGACTGTGTTTTCTGTCACTTGCAACTGGAAGGACCCTGTCTAATCTGCTAACTCCCAGTCCTGGCAATAATCTACGACTGCCTTTAACAATCACCATCTCTTGATCTATATAAAATCCATATTATCTTCATTTCCCTGATGAGGATACTAGGCCCAGAAAGGTAGAAAGTCACAGTGGGACAAATAGCATTAAATTCCAGCCCTGGCTGGTGCGACTCAGTGGATTGAGTGCTGGCCTGCGAACCAAAAGGTCACTGGTTGGATTCCTGGTCAGGGAATGTGCCTGGGTTGCAAGCCAGGCCCCCAGTTGAGGGTGTGCAAGAGGCAACTGATTGACGGATTTCTCACACATCGGTGTTTCTCTCCTTTTCTTTCTCCCTCCCCTCCCCTCTCTCTAAAATAAATAAAACCTTAAAAAAATTTTTTTAAAGATAGCAGTGACTCACTCTTTTTCACTGGGCTACAACAAAGCAGATGGTTCCTTCTGCCTGGAATGAACTTGTCTACACTTCCACCTGTCAAATCTACCCGTTTAAATGCCACCTCGGTGGGAAACTGTCTTGGTCGAGCCAGCTGGAGAATAACCTCCCCCCTGGCTTATTACCTGTAGAACGGATCCTGCATGGTTCATAAAGGTCATGATCTATGGTGATTATGTCTTAGACTGTGAACTCCATGAAGAAAGATATCAGAGCGCAAACCTACAGTGACTTTACATCCTGGTTTTTCAAGATGGACCTTACCTCAAATATTCTGCTAGGCTGTCCCCCAGAAGCCATGGAAATGTCCTAGAATAGCAATATTTCCATACGTACCTCTTAAACTTCTCCAGTACAAGGTATTTACATGGCATCTTTTGTGCCAAGGGCCCTGTGACAATTTGGTGAAGTCTTCACAGAATAACATTTTAAATGTATAAAATAAAATACAGCAGAAATTTCAGTTAACAAAACCCCAAGTTTTTAACATAGCAATATGTGTGCCTCTTTATTAAGGCACCAGATAAGAGCAGCATATCTAATATCTAATAACTACCATATTTTTGGAGATGTGATAAACTATTTTTCTAGAAATCTGCAACAACTTAAATATGATTTGAAAATATCTGTGATTTCTTTTGCTGAAAAAGTCACAATAATAAAGTCTAGTACTACAGTGGTTTGTTATCTACATTCATGATTTTTTAAATTTTTTTTAAAAAAAGATGAATTTCAGCCCAGCTGGGGTAGCTCAGTGGATTGAGCACTGACCTGTGAAACAAAGGGTCGCAGGTGCAGTTCCCAGTCGGGGCACATGCCTGGTCAGGGCTGGGTTCCCCAGTGCGGGGCATGTGAGAGGAAACCAAACACTGATATTTCTCTCCCTCTCTTCCCCTCTGTCTAAAAATAAATAAATATATATTTTTAAAAGATAAATTTCAGTTAGAGATGAGTAAAAATGCAGATACGATTTTTTTCTCATCCAAGTTCAAGAGCCTTGTCCTCCTTCCTATCTGGATGTAGTATAATCACTTATGATCTGTTCTGGCTTTTTGGCCCAGATTAAAAAATAAGTTCCTCAGTTCTGCTTATTATTATCTGGGTGACCTAGGATGAGTCATTTTCGCCTTCTGAGCCTCCATTTTCTCATCTGCAAAACAAGGGTATTGGACCAGATCCTTCCTGAGGATCTGGTTCCTACCAGATATTTCCAGGTTCAGAGGCTCCTTAATTCTGGGCAGACTCTCAATAACTGAATGAGATAAATTGTACTGCAACCACAAGAGTGAGCAAGGTGAACTAACGGATGGCTTTCCATGGCTGACGCCCCACAAAGAGACCGGTACACTGGCCATGGCCTTCTCAGCTGGCCTCTTCCTGCTCAGCACAGCCCTAGCCCAGCTCCAGCCCAGGGGCCAAGGGGTGTAACTCACACTGACCGTTCAAAGCGAATGACTTTGGCCAGAAGCAGCTGCAGGGGCTCTGAGTAATTCCGGAAGGAACTCAGAGCCTGCAAGATGTTACGGAGGGTATAAATCTCCTGCTTTGTCCTCCAGGAAGGCTTCTTCCGTGTTATCTCAATGGCCTTTGGAGGGAAGTAATCCTGGGGAGAGAGAACTAGAGTGACACACAGGACCCAGCAGTTTCCCCCATGGGCCAGCAGGCAGCTCCTCAAACTCCTGCTTTCACACTTCCCCCACCCCCACAACAGTGGCCGACAGGTAGTTAGTGCGCATTGTGTACCACACACCAGGATATGCATCTTACACACACCATCACACTGCATCTTTGCCCAGCCCAAGAAGCGAGGCATGATTATTATTCCCATCTGACAGGTGAAGGTGCTTGGGTAGTATTAGAACATAGATCTGCTGCTTATCCTCAACCTCTGACCATATTGCCACTGCTGTTCCCTGACCACCCCTCCATCCCAGACAACATGGGCTCCCTGGGCTCCAGGGTCCCTCAGCGCATGCACACAGCAGTCAGGGGAGATCCCCCTTGCCCCAGCCTATACCGTGGCATGCTACAGAAGACTAAGATACAGGGAGCCTGCAGAGACTATTAGCTGACCCTCATGAACCAGGACACATGGACCGCTAAGTGAGCAGATATACCCATTCACCCACCATTCCCACCTGTGGGAAAATAATACTTAAGTTGTTAACACCCCCACTGGCCACCCACTGCATTAGGATAACACCTGAACTCTGTACCACAGCCTGGGAACCCACGTGGTCTGACTCCCTATCTCCCTAACCCCCTCCAACCCCACCTCCTATCTCTCCCCTTTATTCCGTAGTCTCTAGTCTCCTGCCCAACTCTTGGAGGTGCCAAGCTTGCTTATGTCTTACTGTCTTTGCTTGGGCTGTTTCCTCTGCCTGGAATGTTCTTCCCCTGGATTTCCCCATAGATGTGGCTGCCCCTTCTCATTCTAATCTCAACTCCTATGTACTCAAAAAACCCTAGTGGATCAACTGAGCTGAAATAACAGGGCCCCCTTCCCAGCCCCCTGTAAACTCTGAATCCTTTTCTTCCAAGCATTTAATATTTTCTGAAATTACCTTATTCCTCTTTAGTTTATTATGCTTTTTGTGTATTATCTGTCATTTTCCCACCACCCCCAACACAAATACACACACAATCTACAACTGCACTGTCCACATATGGCAGCCAATACCCACACGTGGCTAAATTTAAATTAGATAAAAAATAAGTTCCTCAGTCACACATGTGCTCAGTAGCTACATGGGTTGCTGACCACTACAGTGGACAACATAGACTACTGAACATTTCCATTACCACAGAAAGTTCTAGGTGCTCTAGAATGTCGGCCCAATGCAAACATGACAGTGGCTTTGTCTATCTCGTTTGCCACTCTAGAATAATGTCTCACAGGTAGTGGGCACTCAGCAAAATATTTATGGAAATGATGAATGGATGCCAGCACTCTTACAGAGCAGTCCTTGTCATAGGAGCAAAAATGAAAGTGGGGCATGATGGAGCATTCTGGACATCAGAACAACAGATCCAAAGCCTTGCATATTCATTCAGAAAGGCAGTGTAAGAAAAAAAAGTTAAAAAGAGAGAAAAAATAAGAAAAAAGAAAAAGAAAGGCAGCGTAGCTCAGGGCTTAGAAGCTCCTGGGCTCTGGTGGAAGGTGTCTGAGCTTGAACCTTGGCCTGCTATTTCCTCGCTGTCTGTCCTAAGCCACTTCTCCCTGAGCCTCAATTTCCCTACTGATAATAGCAGAAACTATATATATGTGTGTGTATACATATATAAGTGTGTATGTGTATATATGTATAGCATCTATAGTATATGTGTATACTTATATACATATATAGTATATATAGCGTGCACATACATAGTATGTATAGTGTGTATACACACACACACACACACACACACACAGCAGAGTTAATATGTGTAGAGGATGCGCATCATGCCCGGCACAGCAAAGGCTATGGAAGTGTTGGCATTCTGATGTCTGAATCCAATCATTCTCCTTTCTAACTCCTTTGCTATCAATAACCCACTGGGATTTCTATCACAGGGTCCGTTTATGACAAAACACAGATGCTCCTAGCATCCATGAATCAAAATGATTTTTCAGACCCACTTAGGGTCCTAATTCTTTCAGGAAATCTTTCTCACTACTCCCTCCCCCATCCCTTGGGAAGCTTTTTTGGGGGTTCCTACAGAACAGATTCTTATTTAACTTCCCCAGTAAGTTTTAGCACCTTAACTTCATTCCAATGAACTCCTTAAGTGTAGGTGGGAATGTTATACAAACTAGTATTCTCCATAATCAGAAACACTCCTAGGCTCCCTGAGGAGATCAAATAAATGTCTGGAACAGGGAAAAGGAAATATAATTCAAACAGGGCCTGGCCCCTGCCTGCCTCTCAAACGCCATTTCTCAGTGCTCTCACCCTCTCTCACTTCAGGCCAGCAACCCCCTCACTGTGCTCTCCAGCACACAGGAAGGAGAAAGGAACAAAAGAGGGACTGCCCTTGACCCCACCACCCAGAGCTAGCCATTAACATGTGACATACTGGTTTCCTGTCTTTTTCTTATGTATAAATGAACTCTTTGAAAATAACACAAGTACTAGATGATTATATTTTCCATTAAGAATCAGAACAATATAGTTAAAAATCCTTTTACCATGTCATCCCTAATATGAATCTGTTCTTCATCACCAGAGGTGACCATTTTTATACATTATTATATACTTATCCATGTGCCCATAGAATATGGAATTGGTTGCTTTATTTACTTAAATGTCAGACTGCAGACATCATTTGTGTGACCTGCTTTTTTCACTCAGTGTTCTTTTTTAAATTATGTTTTTGAAATGTACCCCTTGTTTTCAACATCTCACAAGTGCTATAATAAATGAGTCTAGAGTCTAAGTCTCTAATTCCAAGGATTCTCTTTGAGAAGTTTAGTGTTAACAGAGTCCCGATATGGACTATACTGAGGTTTTCTTTTTGCTCACAATCCAAGTGCTGTCCTGAGGGGCGGGTTATGTATGCATAAACACATGTGCGTGGACCTGCTTGACTGAGATATAACTCATACACCATATGATTCACCATTCAAAGTGTACTTCAGTGATTTTCAGTATATTCGCAGAGTCATGCAACTATCACCACAATGAATTTTAAGCCTTTTCATCACCCTGAAAAGAAACCAGTACCCCTTAGCAGTTACTCAAAGGGCAGGTTTTTTAACTGGGTCTCTATTCTTTGTCTCTGTGTTGGCAACACAGTCATTCAAGACAGTGAGCGGCCTCGCCTATGCAATGGGGTTTTCCTCTGTGCCCTCTTCTCTCCCTCCAGTGTTACACACAGAACTGTCTTCATCTCTAGAGTCCTGTGACTCTCAGAGAGGCACCTAGTTTCTCTCGTGTAAAGAGAAAAACTTGGGTAAACTTCAGGGTACAGTGTCAGACACTGGCCAGTCTAGAAAGTTGAGGAAAAAAAAAAACAAAAAAGAATTTGGATGGCTTAATTGTGCTTCATACATTATGGGGCATGAGAAATCAGAATATGCCCAGGAGGGGCACAGGTCATCTTGGTAACAGTTATAAAGCTCTGTCTGGCCTCCCTTCCCTGAGAGAAAAGCGAACATGGTACTCCAGGCCAGGGTCAAGTCAGGTCTTCACTGCTGAGAACTTTAGATCTTCCCTATAAATAGGTAGATCCATTTAAATTTTAATTAATGTCCAGGATTTGACCGGGAGAAGCCAGCTGGGAAGGTAACCATGATTCTTGAAATTCAGAAAACAAGTCACAAGTCAGTCCAAAGCCTCACCCAGACATAAGGCACTTTCTCATTTGAATGGCCATCCTACACCAAGGCTGGGGACAAGTGTGCCCAGCATCTCTTGTAGAGTTTGGGGCAGAGCCAGAATTCACACAGGCTAGTGCTTTTCCCACCACCCTGATTATTTCTCCTCCGTCTGGGACTCTCACTTCCTCTGCTGTGGTCCCATGGGTCCAAATGCAGGCGCTCTTCCATGCTGGTGGCTCTGCTCAGTTAGAAAGCAAACAAAGAGTTGGGGGTGGGTAGGGGCTCACAGTCTGGAAATGCCAGGACTGGAAGGGGTCACTGAGATCACCTGTTTTATAGATGAGGAAACTCAGGGTGACACACTGACCTGGTGGCAGAACCTGGACTAAACCCAGCTGTTCTGATGCCCATCCCATTGCTTCTTCCAGGCCATAACATAGAAAGAAAATTCTCAACATCAAGGTCAGAACTAAGCATACCGACTCTGCAACGAAGTCCGTAGTATCAAATGTGATTCGGCCTTGCTTCTTTTTCTGGGGGGAAAAAAGGAGGAGAGAGGAAGGAGAATTAACAAGATTGCTTCTAGAATTCTGCATTGACACGCTTCCACATACCTGGACCACTGTAGCAGACAAGAAGCCATGAAAAACCTACCAGCTGGGTTTCTCATGTCCACCTCCACTCAAAAGCCCCAACTCAGCACAAGACTTGGGCCCAGCAATGACAATATACTATTGTAAAGAGAAAGAAAGATGGGGGTGTGGAGAGGAAATGGAGAATAGAGGAAGCATAGAGAAAGAAAAGAAGAAAAAGAAGCAAATAAGTAGGGAAGTATAGAGGGAAAAAGAACAGAAAGGAGGGATAAAAACAAAGGAATAAATGAAGCCAACTTTACTGAGTACCTATAATGAGCCAGGCATGGCACATCTTCCTTATCTTACTCTGTTTTGTCTTTGGTAGAGTGAAGGATTACACAGCAAGTAAATGGTTCTCATATAGAGGATCACCAAGAGGAGGTGGTATAGGAGGTCTTGGGGATAAATTAAGCCAACTCTAACTCCTAACAGATGCAGAGAGATGTGGGAAGAGGAGAGAAACAGGCAGAGAAACAGCAGGAAAAATACGTAGGGGAAGACAGTGGTGAGAGAAAAGGACAAACAAGGCCCCGACCACCACATTGGGCCAAACCAGGACCACCCCCCCCAACCTCTCTAGCTCTTCTGCATGTTCTTCCCCAGAACTCACTCAGATCCCTGACCTCTTCCCTCATTTGTAGTTTGGGTATCCATATGGTGTTTCTCAGGGAGGCCAATGAAGGCAAGAGGTGGTATTCAGAAGGATCTAATTCATATACTCCTCCAAAAGCCAGTCTTCAACTCTCTCTGCCTGTCCCTTTGCCCCAACCCTCCAGTTCTCTGTCCAGCAGCCATATGACCCATACACTGCTCTTGAGAGGCTTCACTCAACACTACTTTGATGACAAATCTGACTCTGATCTTCAACTTCCAACTTCCCAAGCATCAGCCAAGGTCTGCGGGTAACCAAAGACTTCCGGTCTCCTGGCCCCTTCACTTCACCACTGCATGATACCCTGAGACAGGATGTCCTTCCTGAGAGCTAATCTCAGTCTCTTACATGACAATTCTTCTACTCCATCCCTTCCTATCTCATGGCCCAACTACAGGGCAGAATCTGGCTGCAGACTTGTTTGGTTTGGCCAGCACAATTGTCTCCAGAATACATGAACCTGAACATCTTTAGATGGGGCGTGCCCTTCTTCTCCAGCTGGCCACAGGCCCCTTCTCCCTGCTATATCTTAAACTCAGCCATACACACACAGTTACATTACCTACGTCCCCTTAGAAATACCTTCTGTTGCCCCATCACCAGCAGAACCCCTGCCCCCCGGCCTTGGCTACTTTCCTTCAAAAACCATTTTGGGAAAATTCTTGGAGTGAGTCACTGCATGCAGGGAGGAGGCAGAAGCTACATCTAGTCACTCTTGGCATAACAAGAAAATGGGGAGGGGAAACTTTGGAGTCCTGGATGGTAATGACGACAACTTTGGGGAAGCATAAGAAATTAATAGAATTGTGATCAACTCTTTTCAACCAAAAGAGGGCTCATGATCTACCACTGGGGTACACTATTTGAAATAGGGATTCTGCTCTGCCCCTCTCTACCAGGAGTTTAAGGCAGGAGGTCCTGCTGCTATGGGGGAGGCCTGCTACAGTCCAGCACTGCTGGTGACTGGGTGGGCAAGGCTGTCTAATTCTGGGGTTCGGCATTAGGAAACCCTCTCACTTGATGATCCAAGTCATCCCCAGTATAAATCTCAACATTAATAAAAGTGACAGTTGGGGTCTCCTCCTGCTTTAACCTTTGTCTTCTCTCTCAGTTGATACAGAAACAGGGCTGGGAAGCGGGGTGCTACTTATAGGCACCCCCCTTAAACTCTGCTAATCTTGCTGAGTCCAGTGGCTTACATCCCAAAAGGAGAAGATGGGGTGCCTTCTGCGAGCAGCCTCCGTGACCCGATACCCCAGGAATCCTTTGAGCCCTTGGAGGAATATTTTACACACTCGCATCATCACGATGAGATCCAGGATGAACTGGCGCAGTCCCTGTGGAAACAGAACAAACGAGAGCATTGGCAACTGTTTCCCACCATCAGCAGCAGACTGGAAAAGTGCTGAAGGAGGGAAACTGTAACAGGACTCGACGCTGTGGTGTGCTGGAGTGACTGTCCCATTTTGAGGAAGTCTCTGAGACTGTTGAAATCACGTTGGTAGCTTGAAATTGCCCACAGTGGGAATATTTATGCCACACAAGTACTGGCGACTACTACAAATGGAGGCACCGCCTCCCCACGGACCAGTGGTTAAAACATTCACCAGTACAGCTCTAGGTAAATGTCCAGGCCCTCACTAGGTCCAGAAAATGAAGAGCAAGAGTCTTGGCAGGAACTGAGGGGTGATGCAGAGAGTCTAAATTTGGGAATCTGATGGAGCTGAGGAAAGAATGTTTTAATTTTCTTAGTGGTATGGTGATACTATAATTGTGTCATTTTTAAGTAAATGTCATAAAGTATGCAACTTTTCCTCTTGGTCTTAGCCGAAAGGCCAGGAAGTGATAAAGTATGCAACTTGTAAGTGACTCGGCAAACACACCCATGCTCGTGCACACACACAAACACAAAGCCAATGGTGCAAAATGTTGACTGTCAAACCTAAAGATGATCATTATACATATTTCAACTTTTATGTTTGAAAATTTTCAGAATTTAAAAAATTCAGTAACAAAAAACTATTGTTCATTAACTTCTGATAATAAAGACATCATACACACAATGAAAAGACAAACTGAAGAGTGGAAGAATATACTTGCCGTGCATGTTACTGACAAAGGATTACTACCCAGAATTACAAAGGATTACTATTACAAAGGATTAATATCCAGAATTTTAATTTAAGAGTTATACAAACCAAAAAAATACAAATAACCCAATAGAAAAAGAAGCAAAGGATATAAACAGGTAATTCTGAAGGGAAAATTCAACTCATCTATACATAATGAAAAGATGCTGAATACCACTGAAATAATGGAAATATAAATTAAATTAACCATAAGATACCATTTTACACTTATCAGACATGGTACAACTATGTCGGAGAGCAATTTAGCAATATTTTTAAAAGTTGAGGATGTGTGTCCTTTACGATCAAGGAACCGTACGCACCCTGCATATACACTGTAGAGAAATTTACACATGTGCACAAGGAGAGAGACCTGAGAATACCGCACTGAGTATGGTATGTCATACTCAGTACATACTGAGAGTGAAAGGCCGAAAGCAATCGGCGTTTCCATCAGTAGGGAAATGCATCAGTAGAGTCACAGAACTGAACACAGCCCTAGCTGTGTATGTCAAAGTTGATAAAGCTCACACATAATTTTGAGTGGAAAAAAGGTGGAATATGGCATCCACCTATGGTGGAATACCATTTTTAAAAATGTACCATATACTATACAGTTGCTTATGGATGCTTCTCACTGCTATGTTTACACACATACGTAATAAAATTTAAATATATAGGTAGGAAGGGTACACATCAACCTCAAGAAAGTAGTTACCAGTGAGGAGAAAGGGAGTGGGATGGTGAGGAGCTTCACCTATAACTAATATTTTCTTTACAAATTATATATCTAAAGTAAATATCGGGAATGCCTCTATTAATACAAATTAATACTTATGGAGAACAATTTGCCGTTGTTGGGCACTATTCTAAGCCCTTTATATGCACTGACTCATTTAATCCTCGACAACTTTTTGCAGAGAGAAAATAGGCATAGTACATCAAGTAACTTGCCTCATACTAATATTAGTCATGCGACTAACGGGTGATAGGGAATTGAACCCAGGCAGTCTGGGTCCAGAATCCATAAGATTAACCTGTAAATCCATAAGATTTACTTTACTCTGCTGCTGGGCCTTATTTTCTCTGACCTCATAACAGTAGAAAGAGTGGGCACAGAGCAGGACTCGGGCTCAGAGGGTAGTTTGTGAGTTTCCCAGTGTCAAGGGAGTAGTAAGCTATAGTACTGGGCTCAGAATTCAGTCTTTCTAAAGCCTAATCTGGAACTCTTTCCCTTGTGTACATGCTATTACTCTGAAAGCTACAAGGTAGCCACGTTCACCCCAAGGCCACCTCCTACACCTGTCTCCCACTTCCTCAAAATACATCTCTGTTCAACCTTCTACTCCTCCCTCCCAGGGCCCTTCACACTCCTTACCAGTTCCTTCTTCAGGACCTTCCAGGAACGAGACTCCCTAAATCTCCTCATGCTTCCTGATTTGGCAGATGGCACAAGCCCCTTTGCCTTTCAAGGGTAGAACCACAGATCCTTCCCCAAGAATCCAATTATATTCGAAATAAATAGTTTCCCTTAGTGGCAAGGAAAGTGCTCCTCTCCATTCCCCAGCTGCTGTAAGCCTTGTTCTGAGAGAATCTCATCCTCGGAATCTCCTTATGTCACAGTGAAGGATTCTAGAAGGAAGAGAGGAACCAAAATCTGATAGCCTAACATTTATTGAACACTCATATGCACTGTCTTATTTAATCTTCATGACTACCACAAGGCGAGAGACCTCATGCCCATGCCACATGAGAAGACAGAGGCTCAGTGGCTAAATGACAGCCAGAGCCATGGGGCCATAAAAAACAAAGTAGAAGGCTCCTGGGCTGGGGCCTGGGGCATCCAACACCTCAGCCTGGCTTAGAACTTGGACACTCTGAAATGTAGGTATATGTCACTGTCTTATACATCTTGTAAAATCAGTAAATCAGGGGCACTCAGATAATTGGAAGTCATCCACCAAGTGGGATCTGAATGTTGAAAGGAACTTGGTGACTAAGTTCTGGGGTCCTTTCGAAAGTAGAGAATATAGGGTCTAAAGTACCGTTTTTCTAATAGATTAAAGTTGATAATCCCAATTTGCTCTTGTATAAGAATCTTCAGTGAAGTGGTGGTGGGAAAATGGAGACAACTATAATGGAACAACAATAACAACAACAATAAAAAAAGAATCCTCAGTGAGCCCTGGCTGGGGAGCTCAGTTGGTTAGAGCATCATTCCGATAAACCAAGGTTGTGGGTTCACTCCCCAGTCAGGGCCCACACAAGAAGCAACCAATGAATGCATGGATGGGTGAAACAACAAAATTGATGTTTCTTTCTCTCCCTTATTCTCTCTAAAATCAATACCTTTTTTTAATTTAGAAAAAATAAGACTACAGTGAGTAACTGTGACTTCAGGTAAGCCTGATTTGCCATTCCTATTTAAGTATGCCTATGGGAGAACTCTCCCCCAACTGACAACCAGTCAGTTTAGTGCCATGTAAGGGCACTAAACACAGTGAAAACAGCAGGACAGCTTGGAACAAAGACCCAGGCTCTGAATTACTAAATTCACAGGTCACCATTCCTGATGTGAGACACAAACCACTTACAGAGGCAAAAAGAGATAGAACTGGCTTTTTCCCCCTTATCTGGAGAAAAGATGCAAAAGACTCAGAGAGAAAGGAAGAAAATATTTCAGAAAGAAAGAAAGAGGGGAGCACTTGGTCAAGGTGGAGGTGGAGGTAAACATGGTTCACCTACTTGCACAACCACAGCAAAAATTACAACTAAACTATACAATAACTATCACCGAGAATCATCAGAAAATCTAGCTGTATAAAATCCTGACCACCAAGGAATTAAAGAAGTCACATTTATTCAGACAGGTAGGAGGGGAAGAAACATGGAGATGCGGAGACACAGACAGGTAATGGGTGATTCCACACCCACAGGTGATGGATAAAAATTGGGAGGGATATCTTGGGGATGAGTGAGATCCCAGCCCCACACCAGACCACCCAGCCCAGGGTTCCAGCGCCAGGAAGGTAAGTCCCCATAACTTCTGGCTGTAAAAATTAGTGGGATCTGGGGCAGAGGAAGAAACTGCAGTATTCTCAGGCATCTCCTCTTAAAGAGCCCGCAATGGACTTAGGACTTATGCAGACTCACTTCCCCTGGGCTCCAGCACCAGGTAAGCAGCATGAAGGGCACCAGTGGCATTCAGGGAGAAACTGAAGTGTCTGGCATCAGGGTGAATTCCAGTGGAGAGTTTCTTCCCAGACAAAACTCCAGAGGCCAGGCAGTGGCATCGTCCCTTTTCTGAGCCTTGCTCCACACAGAGTCACAGAGCGACTGCACCATATATGACATTCCATTAACCTAGTTCACAGGGTTGCTCTACCCTGGCAATTACCTAAGGCTCTGCCCCATCCAACTTATGGGTGTGCTTTTCTACATTAGGCCACACTACTAAGACAGGGAGTCAAAGCGGCTCTACCTAATACATAGAAACAAACACAGGGAGGCTACCAAAATCAGAAGACAAAGAAATATGGACCAAATAAAAGAACAAAACAAAACTCTAGAAAAAGAACTAAACAAAATGAAGATAAGCAATCTGTCAGATACAGAGTTTGAAACACTGATTATTAGGATGTTCAAGGAACTCATTGGGTACTTCAAGAGCATAAAAAAGGCCCAGGCAGAAATAAAGGTTACACTAAGTGAAATAAAGAAAAGTTTATAGGGAATCAATAATGGGGTGGATGAAGCAGAGAATCAAATCAATGATTTGGCCCTGGCTGGTGTAGCTCAGTGGATTGAGTGCGGGCCTGCAAACCAGACAATCGCGGTTTGATTCCCAGTCAGGGCACATGCCTGGGTTGCAGGCCAGTTCCCTGCAAGCCAGTTCCCAGCAGGGGACGCATGAAAGGCAACCATACATTGATGTTTCTCCTCCTCTCTCCTTCCCTTCCCCTCTAAAGATAAATAAATAAAAATCTTAAAAAAAATCAATGATTTGGAACACAAGGAAGAAAAAAAGTTCAGTCGGAACAACAAGAAAAAAATAATCCAAAAAACAAGGATAGGGTAAGGAGCCTCTGGCACAACTTCAAATGCACCAACATTCAAATCATAGGGGATGCCAGAAGGAGAGGGGAAAGGGCAAGAAATTGAAAACTTATTTGAAAAAATAATGAAACAAAACTTCCCTAATTTGGTGAATGAAATAGACATACAAGTGCAGGAAGCACAGAGAGTCCCAAATAAGATGGATGCAAAGAGGGCCACACCAAGACACATCATAATTAAAATGCTAAAAGTTAAGTATAAAGAGAGAATCTCAAAAGCAGCAAGAGAAGAGCAGATAGTTACATAGTTACCTACAAAGGAGTTCCCATAAGACTAACAGCTGATTTCTCAGAAGAAACTGCAGGCTAGAAGGGACTGGCAAGAAGTATTCAAAGTGATGAAAAGCAAGGACCTAAAACCTAGATCTCTCTATCCAGCAAAGCTATTATTTAGAATTGAAGGGCAGATAAAGTACTTCCCAGACAAGGTAAAGCTAAAGGAGTTCATCATCATCAAGCCATTATTATATGAAATATCAAGGAACTTATTTAAGAAAAAAAAGATGATCAAAACAATGAACATTAAAATGGCAATAAATTCACAACTATCAACAACTGAATCTAAAAAAACAAACTAAGCCAACAAGTAGAACAGAAACAGAATCATAGATATGGTTCATTTGGATGGTTACCAGTTGGGAGTGGGAAGTGGGGAAATGTGGGAAAAGTGCAAGGACTAAGAAATATGAACTGGTAGGTACAGAATAGGCAGGGGGATGTAAAGAACAGTATATGAAACAGAGTAGCCAAAGAAACTATATGCATGACCCATGGACATGAACTAAGGTTGGGGGGACTGCCAAAAGGAATGGGTGGTACTGGGTGAAAGGCAGCAAAAGGGGAAAAATTGGGACAACTGTAATAGCATAATCAATAAAACGTATTTTAATAAAAAGAGAGAAAGAACAATATGGAGTTTTTGCCTCCCCTACCAGACCTGGTCTTAAAGAAAATACAAGAAGATCCCCTATAAAAGTTTAGGGGGTTTCTGAGAGAAACTACTGGGCAAAGGGAAAGTGAGAGAAATGGTGGGAGGTGGCTATAGACAGGGGGAGGTCCCACCAGTTTTCTGAGTTACCTGAGGATCCAAGTGACATGGATAAGACAGACTAACAAGGGTTATCAGAGGACGTCAATAAGTAAGCCCAAGAACATGACAAGACTCCATAAGTAGACAGTGCTGGCCTCACCTACTGCCAGCTGTGATTGCATAATTTCCCCGAGAATTAGATCAGTGTTGGGGAAGAAGAGGCAGGAAGTTTAGAGAGCTCTGACTTAAAATGAGTCAATAAACCTAAAATTACATTCCCTGAGAATTACTGGATTGGATCTCCACTTACCTAAAGACATCTAAATTGAGTTGTCTGGCTCTGGTCTCATAACTCAGTTGGTTAGAGCATTGTCCCTATACACCAAGGCTACAGGTTTGATTCCCTGTCAAGACACATACAAGAATCAACCAGTGAATGCATAAAAGTAAGTGATTAAGTTTTCTGCTAGGAAGCAGGCTGGGGACACAATCAGATATTAAAGTCAGTTCTAAAAATTAAGGAAGTGCCATTTCTCTCCCAGTTCCTATTCTTACAATTGAATTGTTACAGAGTCGAACATCAGGAGTACTGCTCCGATTCCTGTGTGATCTTGGGTAAATCACTTAACCACATGGAGCCTCATTTTCCTCCTTATAAAATAAAGTTAGAGTTAATTCCACAAATACAGAATTTTTCGGACTGTAAGACACACCAGACCATAAGACGCACCTAGGTTTTAGAGAAGAAAAATAGGGAAACACTTTTTGAAGCAAAAAATGTGGTAAAATATTTAATAACACAAATAACATAAGCCACCACCCACCCCCACAGTGAGCCAGGTAAGCTATATTCAGACTATAAGATGCACCCCCATTTCCCACCCAACTCTTGGGGGATAGTGTGTCTTATAATTTGAAAAATATGGTAATTTCTTTTAAAGATAAGATCATTATTGTTTTGTTAATTATAAGAGTTATGTAACAAAAACATTCACTGAGCATTCATTTAATTGCATATAAAGCTGGGAAAGATGAACAAGACCTGGTCTCTGTTCATAAAGAGTTCACAATATGATGGAGAAGAAAAATGTAACTGCAGCCTTAGGGCAAAGTCTCACTATGATAGCTATAAACATATATGAAGAAAGGGCGGGGCCTGTTTAGGGAGCATGAAATGTGGCTAGAATGTGAGGTGGCCGGGAGGTGTGGCCGGAAGTGCAATTGGGCTAGCAGAGGCCACAGACTAGCCACCCAGGGGCCAAACTGAGCTTGAGGCTGCTTTAT